ATCAGCAAAACTAATTTGTCGATATTACATATTGTCTTAAAATTACTCATGCCTAGAGAACGCGATGAATCAATGAAAATCAAAGTAATTCTGAAATTTTGTTAGAACGATTTTCAATTCTAATATTATTTCAATAAACTTACAATAAAATTATTTCTTTTCAATAAAAAAATATATAAATAATATTTTCTAATATAATATTATATAAATAATATTAAAAAATAATATATACTAATTAAAGTATTGTGTTAATTAATCTCTTGAATTTGGTAATTGAATATCCAATGAATATAGATGTCAATAGTTTACATATTAAAATTCTGTTAATCACTCGATATAATACATAGAAACCACAGTAGTTCCGTGTATGTATATGAGACTATAAATGTGTTGAAGATTACAAAATATTTCCATTAGGTAAAAAGATCCGATGACTATCTTAATCATATACAACAAATATCAAAATTTGTCATCGGTGTGGAAACATGAATGATATTTAAAGTGTATCGATCAAAAGATGTGATCCTAAGGATAACAGTCTAAAAGTCGTCGATGACAGGCACTAAATATTCTGTAAAAAAAGAAGCAATTCCACGTGAACCCGAACAAAATCAGCAGACTAAAAATATACTTGTTAAAATATCCATGAAACTTAACCATACGTAAAGGTGTAAATTTTACAAGTCGCTCAAATGAAATTAACATAATAGTCCCTCTAATCATTACATATTTACATCCGCCACGTGTATCATCGCTCTATAAAAAGCAAAAGATGTCAGTTTTAATTTGAAAGCGTGTCATCTCCATTGAATACAATTATGGTTTATTCAACAAATAATCCATCGAACAAAGGAAAAGTATAGCCGTGGATTCAGCGTGCGAAGGTATAATAAGGCTGACGTAAACAGGAATGGGCACGAAGCTTATCAAAATCAGTCGATAGGCTGATCACGCTATGCGAATAGACTTCCAAGCCAGAGTGGCGGAAGTACCTCGAGCTCGTTCATCTAAGCGCAAAGTTGTATGAATATTAAAAGCTTACAAACAGGTAGCAGATGGGGGCCTCTTAACATTCAATTAATCATCGTCGTAGTAGCTTGCGCTTAGCTCGGCTACGAAATATAATTGACAGCAATTTATTATCGTCGCGTCATTTAACTATGATCGCGTGCCACAGGACTCCTCGTGGTTTTCTCACTCCCCGTGAAAACGCCTCGAGGTCACAACCACACTCAGACTCGCCGGCAGCTTGTTACTTTTTATCGTTTCGCTGCCTCCACGCTGTCTCGCATCTTCGCTACTTTGCATACTCGACTATCAACCGACTTCTCAAACGATGTTCGTTGGCTCTGTGTCACTAGAGAATATGTTAAATATTCGGAATTAATTTCATCATTCATGCATGGTTTCAAATACATCATTGGCACCATTTTAATATGTAACTAATTGCACGGTCAAGGGTCTTTAGCGAATGTTTCGTACACAGATTTAATGGTCTTTATCATATATCAAAGAGTTTGGGAAGAAACGTTTGATGTATTGAATAATTAGGAATAACATTCTCGAGAAAGGCCAGGTCGTGAACTTATCAGAAGCTATGTGAGCTCAAAAGATTCATGAAGGAAATTATGAATTCCAATATACATGGTGATAACGTTATGACCAGCGATCGATTCAACAAAGTATGTATCCAAGCATTTTCTTGTTTGCCAATTCAATGATTTTTTCCTCGATCAGCCGAAAGTGTCGTCGAAAATCGCTTTCCCAAAATGTTCATAAATATTTCGCTCATCGAATTATACCACACGAATAAAATAAACTCCGTGTACAGCCTATTCAATCGAAATATTTCTCAATATTTTCGCTTACAAAGCTACTCACGTTCAATCCCAAAATCAATATAGCACATTTTTCTTCCTCGCCTTACCGTTTGTACTTCATTTTTCGTTCCGTTCCATGCCAGCCGAGGGTCTAAATGAAACACCTCGTTTTTTCTCACGTGTAAGCACTCTATCTTTTCCATTACAGAGCATTACTTGCTTACATAATGCACGTGCAAACAATATGACAATGATCGAGAAGAATAGGGCCATGGGCGTCGTCCAAACACATCGACCTGAAGAATTTCATCGCGTAAATGATATATGGATAAACAAGTATTAGACTGAAGTTGGGGAAGCATTTATATGATGCACTGCTTGATAAATGAATTACATCATTAATCATAATAATCGTGATCAATACTTATTTTAATCAAGAGATTGTTTTCTATGAGAATAGATAATAGTATTTTTGTTGTTAATTCTGAATTAGCCTTGCGACAGTTCTGTTTCTATTTCTCTTGATGAATCACGCCCATTACTTTATAATTTGAAATTCTATGCGATTTATGGAACGATAATTAATTGGTCGGGATTTATCGCAATAGCGGAAATCGATAAAAAACAGCGATGAAAGATATTATTTATTTTCGTTAAACACACTATTGAACTGTTGATCGAGGCATAGAACATTTCGACGCTTTATGAAATCATCAAAATTTTGTACTAATGATGGAATACGTATATATTCAATGTTTTCAGTAAAATATTTGAAATAAACATCTAATCATTTTAACTCGGTATCCTCTTTACAAATTGCTTTACTATGCAGTCAAATAAAATCTAGAAAAGACTCTAGTTTAAAGAATACACGTGTGTTTTGGCCGATAGAGCATGCGCTCTTTTGTTTCTAGAGACGCGTGTTCTTTGGCAGTGACACTTTAGCATTCCATTTTTTCAAATATTCAAATTCTTGCTAATATGATTACAACGAGTTCCTTCTTTTTTAATAAAAAAATTGTATTCATTTATTTTTATCTTAAGTATAATTAGCCAATATATGTGCCTTTTAGATATAATTTTAACTGTAATCTAGAGCATACAGGGACGATAAGGCACTTGCCTTTTTGTTAGAAAAAGTACACTTTTTCAGTTAGAAAAATACAAAACTTTCTTAATAAATAGATTCTTAAGAAAATAATCCTTCATATATAGTGATTATATATATTACATGTGTAATCACCAAACATGAGAAACACGTTTTTCAGGATGTAGTTTTTAAATTAAGAGATAATACATAGATATCGTTACCTGATCCTCGGAAATGACTTTCGAGCTTATCTGACTGAAGCTTACAATAACAGACTTACTTTTGGCTAAAAATAGTAAAACATTCTTAGATAAAGATCGTCTTCATCGATAAATGTCAGATATACATCTATCCATGCATAAATTATTTAAGGAATTACAGACTTTCATGAAATCAAGAATTCGCGCTTAGCAACTTATCGTATGTTAAAACACAATCACTAGGGAAAATAAGTGAACGTGAAATAATGGCATTAAGGAAAGACTCGTTAAATAAAATAACATGGAACGATGAACGGAAAGATTAAAATCGATATCACTGCGCAATGTTCAACTATGTTATAAAGGCGTCTCGCAGTCTGGAGCCTGCACGGTCGTTACTACTGCGGCAGGCGTAATCGACTAACCATCCATACTAATGCCAACCTGTTGAAAATCGTCTGACCTGTTCGTTCTCTACTGACGTGACACGAGCTATTTCTATCGTTCTATCGCCTTTGTTTGGACATGACACTCAATCGTGCTTCGATGAAATTTCCCTGGAATATAGGTTTCATGTATAAAAAGAATATTGGTTCATTTGCCACCGAAGAACTAAAGGCAACGTTTTTATTAACATGAGAAACATTTTGTTGTATAATAGTCTTCTATAGTGAAATAGAGAAAGAAAAACATAAAAAAGCATACATAATTAAATTATCTACGTTGACGCTGTGCTTAATCATTATACATGGCAAAGAAAGAAGGTGAAAACCTTTTTGATGTTTTGTTAATAAATTTGTCAACCTGATCAAAAAAAATCAACAGCAAATAATACTGTGATCAGAACAATTACATGAGCCAATAACATGTATTTGTTCAAGATAAAAAACGATATGGATAATAATGATTCAGTTATTTTTTTAAATGTTGTTCTCGCCTGCCATTTTTTGCCTTCGTTGATGCTGTTCTTGAATCAGTGTAAGCAAAGAAAGAAAGAAAAATCTTTTTGACATTTCGTTAACAGATTTGTTAAGCTGCTCAGAAAAAAATAAGCAACCAACAATGCTGTGATTAGAATAAATGAGTCAACAGCGTGTATTTGTTCTGACTACAGCATTGTTGGCTATTTATTTTTTCTGAAGAGCTCAACAAATTTATTAACGAAACGTTAAAAAGGTTTTTCTTAATCCCCTATTTGCTTGCACTGATCAAGAACAACGTCAACGATAACAAAAAATGGTAGGCGAGAACAACATAAAAAAAAAAAAATGAATTATTATTATCCATATCGTTTTTTATTTTAAACTCGAGCGATCAGAGCTTTATAGACTAAATTAGTATAAACAACGTGTTCATCATACAAAAATAATAAATTTGTGTGAACGGCAGTTTTGTAAGAAACTACTTTCAGTTTCCTAAATCAATGCGAAACTCATTACCGCACATAATCTGTATAGTTAACGTGGAAATGCGCGTTCCCAAGAGAAATATTTATAGTCCCTTAGCGAATATATACTCGTTCATAATTAGCGTTCCCTACAATCTTAACAGTGAATTACGAAAAGTGCTTTATCAATTACTCGAGCGCCGAGTATAATACACCATTCTCGCCAGTGATCTATCAGGAAGCTCATCTTGACTATCAGTTCGACGATAAAATTGTTCAACGTCATTCGACGCTACGCGTGAAACGGAAAAAGTCACCTTTTTTTTCGTTCATCGGCATCGAACGGAAAGATTGCGACTCGGCGCACGGGAGAAAAGAAAAAAGAACGCGCTACCCCGCGCGCATATGAAGCGGTGTGGGCATACGAGAGGCGGCGCGGCAATGTAGTATATAAAGCGATCGGCTGATCAGCGCTGGACCGGCAGTTGCTTGAAATCACGCGCACGTGCGAGAGAACATCCTCTCTCTTTTGGTCTCTGTTGAATTTTCGGCAAAAGGTGTGCGAAAAGATGTCGATCGTTTGCTTATTAGTCACCGGCATGCTTCTAAGCATGCTGGCTCACGCGCCTCGCTGTCTGGCTTGTACCGGCAAGAGCATGATAAGTGAGTAATATCTCAGATTGTATCATCAAGCGCTTTCACTTCTTTGCTCACTTTTGTTGAGATTGATCGGAACAATCACTGTTTTTGTTTCTCATAGTGTTTATAAATTGTGTGGTAGTTCACATACAAAACTGATCGATTCCTAGTAGTTTTTATATAATTCGACGGACATATTAATGGAGCTAGCATTCGATTTCTACTAGAGGTCATGAACTATTATTAAAGGAATTTTCAAATTATAGCAATGGCTCTATGACATTTACTGCTCAGTGCAAATAAGCTTCCGCACTAATGAATAAACAGCCGACAATAACTTAAAAAAAAAGTTTAGATGCAAATCATGTTGTTGAAAGGTTGAACAATTAGCAATAATCGTTTTATTTTGGTTTTATTCTATGTAATACGAGATAAATACTCTTTTCTGAAAGATAAGGAAGGACATCTAATCGCTCATAAAATGTATTCAGAACAACGAGTAAATCACAATAAAAAGCACACGCCTAGTATTACGTATACTGCGCCGAGGCATACAGCTTCAAGAATTCTGTCGAATCGCGGTACAAGTGCGGATGTGTCGCGTCGCATTGTCGCGCGTTGCTACAAAATAATTGAAAACGTCAGTTTCGCCAGGCCGGAAATGAGGAGGGCCGGGCCGCGCGTTCTCTGTAGTTCGCTGGCCCAATTACACTTGCACTCGCTAGCTCGTGTGTTTTTTTTTTCTTTTTTCTTGCTCGTCGTGGGAAAAAAGAGCAAATACACGACCACGGCCTCTTTTCTGCCTAACGAGAGCGCCGCGTCACGACGAGAGGTCCTCCTCATTTTTGTTGTTGCTTATATACGGGTTGCTTGTTTATTTTGTAATTCCGTTTGTATTGCCCCGCGCGGTTCCTATGGTTGCACAGGTGAACCATGTTTCACGGTGTCGTAATAAGTTCGACGTGTTTTGCATGAGCTGTTCCACTGGCATATGAGGTACGAGTACTTCACTCTTGGCGAGCTTTTGTCGCCAGTTTTTCCTATGCTTAGTTTTCTAATTGATGTGGTTAAGATTAAGCTTTATCTTTTAAAATGCATATTATTTATATAGCTTATTTCGTTATTTTACTTTTTTTATGTTAGGTTTTGGTTGTTTGAAACAGCTATTAACGTCAGTTAAATAAATAAAACATTTTTTAATCAGCACAACTGACTTGATATAACTTGTCATTCTAAAGACTTTGCTTAATTAATGAATCTAAATTTTCCTCCAAAAAAAATCTACTAGATAAAGATTTACCAAGCTAAATCGAAAGTTTTTAAAACTACATATTATTCATAAATAGCTGGTTTCATCGTGGATTATAAATATCAAATTAACGTCACTCGTGAAATCTATCAAAAGCAATGTTCGTATTAAATTGAAGTATTGAGAAATTAGTTATACTAAAACGTTTGATAAAATTTTGAAGAGTTAAAAAATGAGCGCCTAAACTGTTCTAACTGATTTATAGCCCGAGCTCCTAGTTTAATTGCGTGACAAATCCAGGAGTCACCAACGTTGCCCTACCATTTGTCCACATAAATGAAACTGTCATCGTAATTCGCTAAATCCTGTGCAACATCTTGTTATAGTGACCCTACTCATGAATCATATTTAGTTACTTATACAAATACTGCATATTATTCTAACATTTACAAAAGAGATAAAATAATCTTTTATAATCTTATATTGATTTCATATTTTGTCGTTTTTATGACTTTCTAATCAGGAACGTTTAATGCTCGAACAAGATATACATCTAGCAAACTCGGATACTAAAAATTGATTAGCAGCAATTATATATAATCGGCGGATATGCAAATGACATAGTCATCAAACTGACAGTTCGTAAAGTAGCAACCAAAATTTGGTGACTCACGGGCAGAAAAGAAGTAACATGAGAAAATCATTTGCAATAAATCATTCCGATAAAACTGCACTAAACGTTCATCGATCCGTGAGAATGAATACCAAGTAGAATCTGAAAATGATGAAAAGGATTCACACGTGCTCATACAAAGTTGCTTTTTCAGAATATATTGGCAAAATATCATCCGACTCCACTACATTTTATCCGTTATCTGAAATTATTCAATTTTTAGTTATATGCAATTTTTCAAGTGCAACCCGATGAATTTCATAAAATCGACAAATTATGCGGGAAAGCCATTTCGAAAATCGAACGTTACTACGATCTTTTCTGTCAAATTATTGATCGTAGCAATTGATAAATTTTCTATTCTACCCCGGGAATATGAGTTTCGCCAAAATTGAATTCTACCAGAGAGAAAAGCATAGCACAATGTATTTTACTTTGCAGGAACGGGAGTATCATGCCAAGATAAACGAAATATTCTCGACGAGCACAACCGTTTGCGACAACTCGTAGCCTTAGGTCAAGTTAATGGACAACCGTCGGCAAAAATGATGATGGAAATGGTAAGTAAAGTAGCACCGAATTATTCATAAACGTGAAGTGCCAGATGCAACTTTCTCCGAATGCAAGGAGCTTAATAAGATTGAAAAAAGAGAATCCTGAAAAGACAAGAACAGAAACAGATGAACGGAAAGTCGATGTTTATGCCATCAAATAATTCAGCGCGCAGTTTGAAATGAAAATCTAGTTGTGCTGTGAGGTGGCTTGTCTCCCGACGAATAATTTAAGAAAAGTAGAGTTGAGAGAGGAGAGAGTGTGTGTGTATGTGTGTGTATATGCTGTGATAATATAGACTAGCTCCGAGAACAGGAGAGGGAATGCACATAGTCGCTTGGGGATTCTCGTGGGAAATCCGTGGCGCGACCAGGGAATGACGGCCACACGGAGAGATTAACAATCGCGAATAACTTTTGCAGGTCTGGGATGATGAATTGGCAGCGATGGCTCAGCAATGGGCGGACCGTTGCAGTGAGACACACGACAACGCACGTAATGTCCGTAAGTTCAAAATCCTATTATATGCTAAGTTTATTGTTATTTCCCAGATTGTAGCAATTCCACGCTTCCTCATTTGCATATTGAGTAATGTCATCGACGAATGCATAACGAGCCACCTAAACAGCATTCATTCTAAACATTATGAAGTTACGAAAACAATATTTTTCGACTCGTCGCGTCATTCTTTTTATGGCAATGACTTACTTAACACCTTGAACCAATGCTCTCGGCGATGTTCAGGAAAGCAATATCCAATATATTGTCCAGTTAAATATGCAAATGCAATCGCTAATTACAAGCAAATATGATGTCACAAATAAAAATCCCCGATAAAAGACTACCAATAACAGTTTTACAAATCGAGGACTTGTGAAAAAAGTTCCAAGCTATATCAGTTGTTAGCGGAAGCTGACTTATAAATTCGCATTTTAAATGTGGATCCATGAGATTTAGTTCTGATCGTAACCTATGATGTTGGAAAAGAACGCAATTTATCCGAGTGCGACAAAACTGACAATTCGATATAACATTAGGATCTTTAATTTCAGAAAGATTCGCGGTTGGCCAGAATATGGCGCGGACTTGGACTACTCGTACCCCTGCCGGACCTTACGATATGGAACCTGACTGGAGACAACAGATCTTCTCTTGGTTCAATGAGGTGGAACATTATCGTACTGGGTTGTTTAGTAAATTTACCGCTCACTACACTCAAGTAATTTATTATTAACGTAATCCCAAACAAATAGGAAAGTAACGGGAAACAAATCAATCTAAGCGAAAAACAATTATCTTGACGCAGGTAATTTGGGGAGATACCTACTTGGTCGGATGTGGATTTTCATATTATTATGATCCTATTCGTGGTTACACTAAGAACTACGTGTGCAACTACGGGCCTAGCGGTAATGTGCTTGGTTACAACCCATATTCTTTCGGTTGGCCAGAATGTAATACTTACGGTATGGACTACTCCAACAGATACTCTGGACTCTGCTGTAAGTATAACAAGTAAAATTATTGGCTATTTTCTGTTCGGCTGATCACTAATTGATTGTCTTCCTTTTTATAGCCGAATTCAGCTACAATCCATTGGGAGCATACTGCGCATACGGCTAAATTCATCACATATAGGAAATAATACCATTATCGTATTACCAACAAAATATCAAAAAATGAGAATAATCTTTTCTGCTTCGAACCAAAGGGTACATTTTTTTCGAAAAAAAACGTTTCATTGATTTTGAATTATTATTCACGTCTAAAAATAATTGATAAGTTCAATTCTTATTTGTATTAATTTTGATGAAACTTCTCGATGGAAAAGAGAAATATAGTAGGATTTTTTTCGCAGTGTAATTAAAAGAGGCTAGATCGGATTAAAGCCCAAAAAAGTTAGCCAGATAATTTACTTTTAAATTTTATTGTTGAAACTTACAAAAAATGATGACTTTTTTTATGAAAAGAAATGAGAATTGAAGAATGACGATTGGTTATTTAATTCTTAGTTATAGCAGGTTTTTCAGAATACTAGTATTTTTACGTTTTCTGAAATTTGTTGACGTTGGGATACTTTTATACCTATCTTTAGACAAATTATACAATCGCGAAAAAAAGCTTCTAGTCTCTAGTTTATAAATAGTTTACTTGTGTATGTTTTGTATTCCATATTGATAAGCTACGAATTTTTAAAGTTGAAAACGATTTGTAATTTGGATCAAAAAAAAACTTTTTTTAATATTACTCTCATTAGTTCTGTAATGTATCTCCACGACAATTAATAATCAATAAACTGTTTATGATGTCTTTCTACTTTACAAATGATAAAATAATTTTCTTGCAAATCGTTTTTATTTTATAACAGTAGCTAATTTATACTCATCAATATTTTGAATATGTAAATCTTGTATTGTATAATTAGTAAAATTAAAATGATATATATTTTAAGTGATTGTCAACCTAACAATTTAACTGTAAGAATGCATCTATTTGTCTATGGAAATGTTTATAAATGATTCTCGTATAAGTTTTATAGCATATATAAAAAATATGTGAAATATCAAAAACCCATATAGTTATTTAAAAATCTATAATAAATTAGTTTTGTTAATAAAAAATTTTATGGTTTTATCATTTATTTTTTACCAAATAGACATCGCATGTTTGTTATTATTTATAAAATGAATTATTAAAGTTTTATGACTATTATCCTACAATCATATTAGCATTTATGCTACTTTGAATAGAATATTTATAATGGAAAGACCGCTCAAAGTTTTTAATTTCTTCAGTCGCAATTATTAAATTAAAACAAAAATTGTTAATTTAAATTATATATTAATCAACAAAGTTAATTCATTCAACTTAATACTGACTAAGCATAAATGTCGAAATTCAACGTCGTGAATGAAACTGTAAATCCTTAGGTAAGTTAAAAGTTGTCAGCTAGATTTCGTTTGCATTAACTATGCGGAGCATCAGTAAACAATACTGCATTACGTAGTAACGACAATTGCATTACAGATTTGTTAACACGATGTTTGCTTTCATTTCAACTAGCTGTGTGAACAAATACAAATACACAAGTAGATAGGTACACAGAACCAAATGAACAATGATCCGCGTACAAACAGCGATCAAAATGAAGAGCTTAACACATATTCGATTGTTTTCATTCCAATAGTATCGAGATTTTTGAAATCTCTTTAAATAACACAAATCCCAGTCAATAAATTAAAGCTAGGCTACACTAAAATTTTTGACAGCCGTAAACTGTCGTTCGACTTTCGCCTTGACGACACCTGACAAATAAAACGCCTTTTATTGCAGAAACAGTGACGTACTGGCCAATGCTGTTTGTAGCTAAAAGGAGAAGTTGTTTGAAGGATTGAGGATCTTTACGAGCTTAGTAAAGCGAAGTCTGATAATAAAGCTACAGAACACAATAAAAACAACTTTAACTTATGTACAGTTGTTTAAGTTTTCTTTCTTAATTTATATTTTATTAAGTAAACTCTCAAAAGCTAATAGTAATGTTTGTGATACTTAAATTTGTATCAATTATTATATTTTTGAAAACTTTACAAATAACATCACCTCAACTATATTTTACATCATTAGAAAACTTGATAAATATATGAATACAACTTGTAAATTGCAATTCTTATACCAAAATGAAATCTTAAGTATTTTTTGAAGGAATATGAAACATCAAACAGCCAAATCTTAAATAGTATTCTTAATTTACTAAACTACAGAATAAAAATTATACAACTTGGATCTTCAATAAATTCAAGATTTTTTTATAACACAATTTCATTGATAACTCATTCATATATATTGGCAAGGTAAATAAATAAAAATATGTTAAAATTCTGTCTATGTAGAAAATTTAATTATAATACGTACAGACAGTATTATTTCGATTTTACTTAAAATTTTATATCTTATATTATATTCAATTTTTTTACAGGTGTATGTATTGAGTGAGTCTGAAGTAAACAGCATAACTAATTAAATATAGACGATACTTGAAAATTATTTGTATATTAAAAAGCGATAGTTGTACTTTAAATTAGTTGGTCGATCATTGGTGTCGTAGATAATGTACGTACATAATAATAAATTAAAATTCTTAATGTGCGTTTAATTCACACTGTGAAAGCGTAGCTGTAATCCTATTTCTTTGCATTTACTAGCTGCACAAAAATATGTATCGAATTATATAACAATTATTAAAAACTGCCGCAAAAAATATGAGCAAAAAGCTATATTGATAACACATTGAAGAATGAAAAGTATAATCAAGAAGAATTTGAACAATCAGTATGCAATAAAGCGAAGACATAGGTACTTATGAAAAATATATAATTTAATAACTGTAAATAGACTTTATTGACGACTTTTAAGAAGGAGTCTTTTCTGTAACATAGTTTTGGCAGATCTTATGTTTTCATTAACAGTATTCATGAAAATAATTAGAATATTTTCTTTGCGTGTAACATTATATATTTTTTACTATAATCATTGAAATTTGTTTTTAACTCGTATCAAGAATATTTAATCCACACTAAATGAAATAAAATTACCATTGTTATAGTATTCAGATTTTTATTTAAAAAAAAGAGAGAAAGAAATAACGCGAGCATAAATATCAAACAGTGAGTAAAATTACATTCAACTATATTATTATTCTTATACATGTTTGTTCTGGTCTTTTAGCATCTCATCATGAGCAGTTACATTTGACAAGTACATTCGTACATATATTTCTATGTATAACTCGATCACAGATCGTTCGAAAATATATATATATATATATATATATATATATATATATATATATATATATATATATATATATATATATATATATATATATATATATATATATATATATATATATAAAATTAGCTATGATTTAAAATGTTCAGAAAGTGTTTGCAAATCGAGCAATTAATTTTCTATTTTATTGTATGCATTGTACACATTAGAAAAGAGCAATATGTATGTTTCAAATACACAGAACCTGCTGTATTCATTAAAAATATTTAAAAAGTTGTTATATTCTTAATTTATATAACATCTTATATTTTGTTTCTTTGAAATAAGAAATGTAATATTTTTTTTTCTTAACCGTTTAACCGCCGGCATGACATATTTAAACGTCATGTGGTCTGGGGCACATATCTACCATTATTTGGAAAACACTCGTATGGACATTTTTGATGAAGTATCACTTTTCTAAAAGAAAAACTACCAGCGGTCAGAAGGTTAACATTGACGTACCAAACATTCGTTATTTTTAAGTTTTCCAAATTAAATAAATACATATTTAGCAAGACAAAACTGCAACTGTATTGTAGATGTTTGAGAAAGAAATATAAAAATTAACCAAATATTTGGTAATATTCTCCGAAGCCTTAAATGATAAGCGATTAACAAAACTGCAATTTAATACACTGATCTAATTGTATTGTAAAATCAGAAAAAAATATATAAAAAAGTTTTTCATACATCTCAAAGAAACTATTAGTATTGAACATATAAATATACATATGTAGCATCAGTTTTTTTAGAAAATTTTCAAGATTTCTTTCTCTTTAGTTACATGTTTTTTTTATTTCAGTGAAGACCTAAGCATGTGCGCTGTTTTTATACATATTTCATACAATCTCACTCACTGTTTTTCTTTCACTCTCTCGAGTACGCGCGCATCATCATTTATAACACATTATACATATGTACAAATCAGGAAATAACGAGTTCATAGTTCTTTTTTGTTTCATAATAATACCTAACTATCTAAAGAAAAAAACGACGAGTGTTGACGTTCATTTCTTCGTTTAGCTTAATCCAAAAATTAATGTAATTTACAGTAATAAAGGTTCGCAAAAAAACCCACATCATCATGCGCAATTAGCTAAATTACATCACTCATTGAGGACGACATTCTTTTTGTAATAGGATTAGACTTGTTATTTTCCTTCGTAATATAATTGTGTGAGATTTGCATTTTCTTTATCTAATAAGTCTTATGAGCACCCTACTGCGAAACACTTTGAATTCAGTGTTTATCTTGGCTTTGAAAATGTAACGGAGCAGTTATGATAATGGTTTGCTTTGATGGACACCTTTAGTGAACCATGAACGATGTTGTTATGGTCTTGGAACAGGTTGGAACCTCGGTAAACATAAACCAAATTTGCTCTCGATACCAGTGAAAATGGGCAACGCTACCTGATAACCACCAATGTGATCTGGGTTCGTTGATTTCATATCGTCAGCAACTCCAGTAGCTGGAACTTTATTTTCGGAGCCCGCAGGCCGCCTAGTAAAGATTTTTACAATTTATTAATAGAGTTTAATTAGTTGTAATTTGAAACACTAATAAAAAAATTTTAAAATGCTTACGATCCTCCAAAATCTACAAAGAATAATCTCTGGAGCAACTCGTACGTGAATAGTGTAACACCAAACTGCGGCGATGATCTGAATACTCGAGCTATATAAGTAAATAGACATGTGTAAATAATGATTCTTTGAATTTTTTGTAAACAATAATCTCTAATGTTCAGTCTAAGTAAAGATTTAGAGATCGATTTATTAATATACGCATTTAAAACCCACATGGTAAAACATAAATTGAGTAAAGATGACTAGGCATTTTTATTGCGATAAACAATGAACGATGAACTTTTATGATTTTATGAATCAAACTGGAAACTGATAGTTAAATAGAAATTTTAATAGTTTAACTTCAAAAATAAATAACAAATAAATCACGCCACAACTTGCCAGTTAACTACTTACTGACAAAAAAGGTCATCGGGTCATTTTAAGAAGAACGAAGAACCGATAGATGCTCATCAAAAATCGGCCATATTTACATTTAATTAAGCTTAATTAATCTGAATTGATAATATAGATTGAATTTATTGATATTCAAGCTTGCAAGTAGTCAAAGTAAAAGTTGACAGTTTCAACAAATACCATGTTAAAAATATGGTATTTGTTATAGCTGACAAAACAGAAACTTCCGTGGCTCTCTTTTCTTAACTGTGACTTGCAAATTTGAATTAAAAAAAAAACATTAGAGAAATTTATGATAATAATTCATACCAGTTGCTCCTTTCCAAAATGCTCTTGCACCTTCTTCCTTGTAGATTTTTCGGGCGCAGTCTACTAATCCATTGTACGTAGTTTGACCTTGTCTTGCGACAACCTATTAAAAATATATTTAAAAATGAATAACATTTTATTCCCTCTGCAAATATTCTTATACGATTCGATATATCTTGAAATAATCAATAAGAATGCATAAGTAATAGAGATTGAATATTAAGAAATGTGTGTATGAACGTTCTAAAAACATTCTTACGTAAGTATTAACTGCAGATTAAAATTTATACCTGCAATCTTGTCTTGATTACATCAGCAGGTGTGACTAAAGCAGCTGCCGGTACACCAGCGATCGCACCAGCACAAAGAAGAGATAATGGTGTGTTGTATCCTCCTTCATCAGCAAATTTCGCTTTAATATGTGCGTACATGGGGAAGTAAATGCCACTGAATGGAACATCTCTTAAAAGACAAGCTCGTGCGCCCTGAAAATAAAATGTTTTTGTAAGCATGAACTTTTGACGTAGCATTAATGTGACCCCAAGAACTTAGATATTTTTACTTACTTTATACAGTCCAAACAAACCAAGTTCTTTGACAACAGCCCACGCTCGAACTTTCTGACCTCCAGCAATTTCACCGGCCACTTGCAATCTAATTTTTACGATTTCAAGGGGGTTTGTAAAGACAACTTGTGATGCACCAGCACACGAACCAGATATGATTTCTCCTAGAAGAGGTAAGTTTCCATTTTTGTCCATAAACTTGTCGCGTACAAAATCGTTGACGGTTAATTTGATGGCTTTTTCTGGCGCGACGCCCATCAATTGAGGTACTAAACCTCTGTATAATCCAAAGAAACCTTCATGCCGAATGACCTAATAAAATAAAAGTTATTTAAAGAAATTATATTTTAAGTAATATTATTAAATTAACAGAATTAATGTTTACCTTTTTACAACAGTCAAAGCTATTTTTGTACATCAATTCACCAACAAAGGAGCCGCTTCGTTGATTTTGCATTCGCGTTTTAACCAAATCAATTGGATATACCGCAGTCGCTCCAACAGCTAAAAATATATATTTCATATGAAATTAATATATTTTAATTAAGTTCAATATAAATATTTAATAATTTAATGTTATAACAGAAAAAAATAATTATAAATGTCATATACACGAAAATCACTGAAAAAGATATTTAAGAAAACTACATCAAAACGCTATAAGTTTTCATAATATCTTACTAGAACAAAAATATATAAAAATAATGATAATTCAACTAACCTCCACCAATAGATCCTAAAACAAAACGGTAGCCACTTTCCATAATTTGTACTAAAACTCCTCTTTCTTCTGGACTCTAAAAAAAATTATATTATAAAAAATCGTATGCGTTTTCATTAAATAATCATTTACAACTTACCGATACAGCTTTAATTTCAGCTAATCGTTTAGTGATCTGTTTGAAATACTGTTCAGGTGTGATTGCTACTAAATCATTATACACGATTCTCCTACAATAAATAATTTAATTATCATTAAACTAACAACTATTAGTAAATAAAGCAATTAACAGATAACATATAAGAAATATTGAAATTAAACTATCATTTACTGAACTTATTAAATTGTTTTAATATTCTTTTCTATGTAATATATATTTAGTACTAACATTTATGCGAATATGACAGTGTTCAAAATCACAATAAATAAATAAGGCGTATAGCATACATTATTAAGAATAAAATAAAAACATGTTTAATAAGAATGTTATAAAAGCCAGCAACAAGTAAAAATTACGATAACGACAACGACGATAGCAATAGTTAAATTCTACAGTAACAACTTTGATAGAACAAGTCAGTAAAACGCACCCAAAGCCCTTTACTGTCTCTGATTCTCCGCTCGTGCTGATTCCACAGTAGAGTCAACAACATTCAATAAATTTAATTTCGAGTCTCATGGAATGTGTAAAATATTATTTATAGTTATAAGTGAAGTAATATTAAGGTAAATTTATTGTATAAAAGACATAAAGTAAATGCTTCACTTTTAGCGATTCTATTTAATTTTAAACATAATAGAACTGTTACGTAATTGCAAAATCTGTTAATCTTTCCATTTTACTTTTCGACTTCCAATTTTATAATTTATATACATGAAATACACAAGTTTATAGATTATCATACACTTTTCAGTAAAAAAATTAACATTATTGTAATAAATTCTTTGATGTAAGAACGTGTAATTACATACCCAGTTTGATGAAGAAGGTCGCAAAGATGGAATAGAATGTCAACCTCAAGTGGCGTTATTTGCGACATCATCTGCGCTGAATGAAGAAATTCCTCTAAAAAATTTAAGACATTATTTATTAAAGTCACATAAACTCAAACAGAAATGACTTCTGGATAATTTACCTTTGGTTACTTCTTGATTTCTGTGCCCATTAGTTGCATTGAGGTAGATTCGCTTAATAAGCTCCATATTATTTAGTAATGAATTGAAGGCCATGAAGTATGGAAAACTCACTTTTCTCCCACTCTGTCCCATATTTAAGGCCTACATAAAAAATCGATTAGAAAAGACTTTTTCAAAGGATCCATTCATTCTCGATATTCTGACTTACTGCAACGAGATTATCCTTGACATCTTTTGTAAGCAAATGATTTTTGATGCTGAGCATGATGTCTTGGAAATCCATTGCTGAAATAAAACCTGTACCGTCTTTGTCGAATTTTTTAAAGGCTTCTGTTGCATATTCTTCATGAAAATCCTATAAAGAATTACTATTTTAAGTTTCTTTCAACTATATAATATAAAGTGAAATTTTTCGAGATACTCACATGCAGGAACTGACTGAATTCTGCATAGCTAATGAGTCTCTTTTTATCATTTCCAAAATATAGTTTAATAAAGCTACTGTCCATATTAAAAGGCATCCTTTGATGTAACACTGTTTTTCTCATCACCTCAGCGAACTCATCTAAAAATAGTATGTATTATAGATTTGTTTTTAATTTTACTACATAGATTTGCCTTAGAAAATTCTCATTTGCTACACTTACCAAACGTAACCATTCCATTTCCATTAGTATCAAATAATTGAAATGCGGTTTTGTAGAGAGCATCTGGCACGCAGAGCAATCCTTCGAAAGATTGAAACTCAGCATAGGAAATGAGTCTGAAGATAAAATTTTTTATTCAGTTTTATGCATATTTTACAACGTTTCAAATGCACAAATTAAGTACAAAATAAAAAAAATTTAATATAGATCGATGTAAATTTTTTTTAAATTTACTTAGCTTACATTTGTGTAAAAACCTTGAAAAATCTATAAGTAGTTGAATAGAAAAAGACTTACCCATCTTTGTTGGTATCGACGATTGCAGCAAGTAAGGCAACTGATTCTGGATTGAAATCCGAGTCTGTATAAAGGCCAAGATAACTGCGTACGAAATCGGTTGGGGTCATAAACCGCTCACCACTCTTTTCAACCGTGGCATACTGTAATAAATATAGTTTATTATAATAAATTGATATTTTTCAGATTTTATACATTATACAGGATAAAATTCATATAATAATATGATTTTTAACGAAATATATATAAATGTATATCAGCAGGAAAGTATGTGGTTTACCTGATTGAAAATTTCATGAAGTCGTTCGCCATTAGCACGTCTTAAATATCCGGGACCCTGAAAGCAATTTTATTTATCAAAACACTATGACAAGCGTTCTAATTAATCACTCAACTGATTTGACTTTGATGCGCTCATGTCAATTTTATTTGATTTACAAGTTTGTGAAAGATAATACAATTGGACCTCTATTAGTGATTCTTTTTTCATTCAAAAAGTATCAACAATCAATTAAAATAACTTTGTTATTTTAACAACAAATATTCATATTCCATATTTATTTTATCGGTATAATTTTCAATTAGTATATTACGATACAAGTGCGGGAAAATAGATTCTTGTCTCACGTGTCGTTTACGTCCGAGCGCCTCAAAGCTGTACTTTCCACACGGCGTTTTGCAAAAATAGTAGATTACAACCCAAGACCGCGAAAGTATTGGTAACTCTATAGCGCATGTACATTTTTTGTCCAGTGAGGCAGCGAGACCGAAATTAGCATGTTACCGATCGAGTCGCGGCCGGTAACAGACTACTTCCGCCTCGCTGGATATAAAAAAAAAGTAGAGCCAGCTGGGCTTTAGCCACGTGACCGAAGTACACGATAAGCAAACCTACTTCCGAAGCGTTGCCGGGATTCCATTGATTCGACCTGCTAACCAACATTCGACCCTCTAGAGCAGTGACAGAGATGCTTATACTGTTAGTACCTGCCGCGACTGCGCGGCCTTGGTCTTAACCTTGGCAGTGGTCTTCAGCTTGCTGAAGTAGGTTCGCGAAGTTTAAGCACGACCACAGAGCTGCCAGCGTTAATAATCGCTAAACATGCCGATAAACTTGACAAATACGAAAGAATTGCTCTTTTGCAAGCTCACGGATTACACCAATGGCTCAGTATGTGAGTACTATTGAAGTGAAGGTTGAAAAAGGCACTTGTTATCGCATGCACACATCTTTATTTGCTTGGCGCAAGTTTGTACTACGGGTGAGGCCGAGATATACGACTTTATTTCGAATAGTAGTTTTAAATTTCAATTGAATTTAAAAACTCTTTTTTACTTTTATGTACTAGATAGTTCAATAATTAAAATATGAACTTAAGAAGTGCTATTGGTGATTCGTTGCACACGTGAGTTACTAAAAAAAAATTTTATTTTAATCGTATAATGATTAAAATAAAATTCATGATAATTCTAAATAAAGTTAAAGATAGCACCAATCTGAATGATAATGTTTCAATATGAAAGCAAAAGATCTAAAATTCCCTCATATCAAAGATACACTGTATAAAAGAATATATCAAGTAATATACTGCAGTAACGTACGATCATAAGAAAGTTTATTAGAACGTAAGTAGGTCTATCTAACAGTACAACTTCCGCGTCCATTTAGAACAAGCATTACTCGTCACTTAAAAAAGAAAATTTTCGAAAGAACCCAATCCCGTTATAAAGCACCATATAAAGAGTAGCAACATCTTTCGGGATCAAGATAGTAGAAACGGCCGAGATCACGTGTCGGTTGCGTGTAAATCCCGTTAGTAAGAGTCGCTCATCGTTCGTCGTCGTTATCTCGGACGATTCTTTCCTTTCCCACTGCGTTATGACTCAACGGACACGTGCGCGTAATGACTTTTCCGCGTTTGTCATTACGTAGCCGAGCACGCGGTGGTGCTTACGTAATTGGCTGCCTTGCCGTGAACGCATAATGAGAGAGAAAAAATCCATCATGGATCGGAGCAAACAACTTCTCGCGCGATATTAACCTTGTACATCCAAATGTTTCGTATTCTCTCTCTTCAAAGACGTTCAATGGCGAGTCACATGTTAATCAAAAGTTATCACGACAATGCATAGGTATAATATTTTATTTATAGTAGAGACGTATCCGTTGCAAATTGACTACGATTCACACGGAAACTCGGACAATTTGCCTGCTATTTGATCCTTCCTCAATCCAACAATAGGCCTAATTTGTTTGACTGTCCATCTGTGACTTTGCCGTATAAACTTAGTCGATTGTTCCAAGTACATTTGCATTTAGCTTTGTTGAATGAAATTAAGTGATCGTGTATACAAATAAACTAATCTATTGTAGAGTGAATTATCTGTGCTGCATATTCAATTAAATAATATTATCACCTACAGTACTATATGAAGTTCACTTTGAGTCGTTGATGTTATATAGTTGCAAATTAATAAATCGCCTTGAATCTGTCGAGCAGAGTCAATTTGTCTACGTTAATTGTCTGGACGCAACATAATACGAGCTTTACAGACAATTTTTGCATTCTTCTTCAAAGTTCCCGAATCAGCGTTTAATTTCAATTTTCGAAAATGTAATTTGAATTAAATGTACTTCCTTCAACGCAAATGAAATCGAAACTATTAATTTATACTTCAAATTCTAAGCAATTAAAAAAAATGATGCCTTAAATTATGATTCTCTGTGATAAAATTTCCCATTATAATATATATGCATACACTCCGAGTCTTGTTACAAAAAATCACCAACAAGTGCCGTGCTTTAAATTTACATTGAAATATCTCGAGAAATTTTGTGGATATATTCTTCTAAAAGAACGCGTGCGTTTGACACACAATCTACATTACTATTATAACAATCAAAGTGAATCCTTGCTCTCCATAAAAAATAACACGTCAATAAAACACTGATCTCAAGTAAACATCTACAAAAATTGTTCGATTAACCCGCAGTCGTTTACCGGTTTTCTGTCGTACTTTTGAATAAGGCATTATTTCTGTCCTGCTCTTTCCTCTTGCTCGTAATCCGCGCACTTTCTCCTGTATATAACGGACAATTCTCACTTGCACTGCTTTCAAAAAAAAATTCGATGTTTTTCCGCGAGCGCTATCACGTGCTCGTATCGTGCACAACTATATTTTATAGACGTACGTAAAAAAAAAGAAAAACAGAAAAAAAAGAAAAAGAAACGCATAAACAGCGCGTGGTATCGAGCCGACGAACTGACTGAGAACGAACGTTTTCGGACCACTTACAATTTCAACTCCAGGCGACTGATTTACTCCCCCACTTTAACCTACGCGCTCACGTCCATAGGCATGTACACAGCAGCAACGCACGCACACGCGACGATATGATGAAACGTGTGTGTCTGTGTGGTGAGGGAACTTATCTTCCTCTCTGTCTCTCTCTCGCTCCCGACCATACCAATAACGATAACGACAGAATTGACGCAGCAAACGAAATGTTTGCGTTGAACAAGTTATCTTTGTTATGGACATCAACATTCCTTTTTGTTCTTTACTTCTGTTTTAGCGATAGATTGACGTTGACGCGGCAAGAATTTATGATCATTGAATCATTCGGACAAAAGAAATTATAGGTGTTAGTAAGTAGCTGTTACTTTATGCCAACAAATTTTTGATTTAGAGATAATGTTTAACATTAAATAATTCTTAACTAACGCGCTACTTTTATTTATCAATCACAACTAAAATAATAACAAATATGATATTGTGCAATATCTGATTCTCTCGACCGTGCAGATCAATACTTCGATGTGCACCGCCTGACTGACTCATTAGCTTCTTCCAAGCCCAACCTAATGCAGAATGTTTGAACTCAAATCCGTACCGCTATTCATGTAAGAACGTACTGCCGTCGTCAACTTTATAATTATTTTTTATATCGTGTCAATATCACAAATATTATTTTGAGATTTTATACATCCGAGAGCAAGCAGTGCTTCCGTAGCATTTCATATTTCATATATATATATGAAATGCTATATGAAAAAGAAAACAAATAAGATTACATTAGTTTTACTAATTGCACAATCACGTAAGACCGGCTTTGTTTTTGTCCCTGCAGAAAAGAACTGTTATCGCTATGGAATTTTATTTGCGTATGTCCTCCAAGCATTGGGCTGAAACACTAAACGATTTCTATTGTAATTACATTTATCATTCATACAGTGCTGTTGATGCAGTACGAATAATTTTTTGTTATATGTACTCATCCAAATACTCGATAATCGTTCTCGAACCTGCTGAATTAATAATCATCACAAAAACCGCTATATAACATTTGAAAAAACGCGCTATTGATCAAATGTTTCAAATAATGCGGCTTATTTTCCGGCAATTGCATTTTCATAACGAAATCGCGTATTGTCACGCTACACCAGTCTTGCTAAAATATATTTATCATTTTAGATAACCTTGGATTGCTGTCGCATAAAATCAATCTTTAACTATGATCACAGTAGAAATCAATGTATCAAAAAACCGAATTTTGATGGTATCAATGGCTGTTAACTTTGTATTAGAACGTAGTTTTTTACTAGTTTTTTCGATTATCCTATCTCACTGTGAATCAAGAAAACAGCGACAATTCTTTTATTTTTATCCAAGTGGCTAAATGATAGCAACATATTGGAAAATGATTTACCACATCGTCGATTTTCTCAAGCTGTCGTTCATTACTCTGCTCAGGCATTGTACGTCTTAACGCCAGGCTGCCTAACGTCACAACAATCGAATCTTGCGAAGCCCGTGAAAATAAGTTTTATCAACAAGCACAGTCTTGCAACACACGATAATATGCACCTGATCCTCGAAGTTAACCCATCATCGAACAACCAATGCAGCACTAAAACTCAAAGCTCATTGTCGTCGAAGGAAGTTCAGCGGTAAACTGACGGAGGTGTGTGCGGGAAAAATGTAATATCGTTTTCAACGGAAAAACATGACACGCGCTGGGCGACCTCGCTCGGTGATAATCTCGTTGTCGACTGCTCTCTCTCTCTCTCTCTCTCTCTCTCTCTCTCTCTTTCTCTCTCGCAAGTCCTGCTGCGCGCGCAAGCATCAAGCGCCACTGCAGCTTTTCAGTATGAGCTCCCCCACGAGGACTATAGCTCGAGATGCCCTTACCTAAACCGTGTTATGTTGCTCACACGCGATCACGTAAGCTGAAACATCATCGCGCGCGAAATAAAAAAACGAAGATATACATATAACGCGAGAACAACGTCACGACCACTGTACAACGTAAGAACTTGAATTGCATAATATAGAACGCATACGTTGCATGGCACTGTATGATCCTAGCTGTTTTTCTTTATTTCAATGACGAAAGCGCCAAGATTTGCGTGCGTTACTATTTTCTACTTTGACAAATGAAAGTGGCTCTTTCTTTATTCGTTCCAAAATTAAAGTTGTGCTACTTTGATAAGTATTTTTAGATTTTACGCGCACGCATTTCTCCGTTCGCTGTATAAAGAGCTACGCGGACAAAAGTATTTTTCCGTTGGCGTTATCAGATGTTCGGACAAATATTTGTATTCGCGCAGCGACATTCTTTTATTATTACAAATGCGAAGTCGACGATTAGACAGCAATAGCTTTACATTAAAGGCCGTTAACGAAAATGGATTTATTCCTTTCTTTTTCTTCATCGTTTGTGGGGGTAATTGTATTGCTTGCCAACGTATGATGCGTACTTTTGGCGGAAATGAGACTATATTATGAGCAAAATATATAGATATATAGACAAATACATACATATTCTTGAATCAAAATTGCTTTTCTGATTTTATTAGAAAGTGTTTGTATTACAGTAAAAGCGACCTATGGTATTGTAGAACTAGTAGAATCTATCATAAATTGTGTTTTTAAACAATTATTTTAATACTGAGCAGAGTACCGAGCAATTTATGTGATTTTATCACTAGTCGAAAAAAATGCCCAAAATTAATTCAATAAAAAAGGAGTTATCCAATTCAAATCTTTCATTTACGAATGATCATGTGGAATACCTTTAAAAAAATTTCTGCATAACGTGCTTTAATAAAATAAATGCGTCGGAAACAAAGTAAATAGTGTAGGGAGAGAGAGAAAAAGAGAAAGCAAACGAGCCGCCGAGGAAATGATACTTACACCAAGATCGTGGCTTCAATCGAGGTCCTCGACCTCCCCTCTGCTACAAGCAGACTAGTTATTTGCCCGTAAGGGCAGGAAATTCTTATAAAGATAAAATGAAGCCTCGATACACTGAGTTACAGAGCTGATGTCACTTATTTGGCAAGCAGAACTGTATTCAAGTTGTACAACACTCAAATGGAAAGATTGCATTAATATATTTTTGCAATCATCAGAAGAACATCATTTAATTTGCATTTCACTTAGTTGGCATAGAAAAGCATTGTTCGTAGTTTAATTTTACGACACAGACCTAGTACAAACGATGAGAATTTTTTCATTTTACAGCAAATCAAAATTTTATTGTTTTGCAGAAAGAATATCGCAAATAAATTTTCTACTCATGAAAATTATTTTGGTTTCACGAGGATTAAGGAAATGAATCCAAAGCAAATAATCGTAAATTCATTGCCTCGATAATTTCATTACTTTTTTATTTACGCTTGAGAACCATAATTTTTTCCAGTTTCAATTATTTTAGATACGCGAGAATATCTTTACCAATAAAATTTGTATTACGAAAAATAATAAATTGATTGTTATAATCCTTATACATAGTGATAAAATAGTTACATTATTTACATCGGGTAAAATAAGAAAATGAACAGTAAGAGAGAGAGTGAGAGCATACGATATACCAGCAAAAGCAGTTTTGTTTATGCATCAGCGTTGCATAAATAGTATCAATAATGAATGTTGTGTGTAATTTGCCGTGAAAGCGGGATTAAAAATTTCTCACGAGATTTCACTGCGCTCTCTGCAGTCTGCACTCAGCGCCAACATCAAAGGTCTATCTCATCTCTTTCGCGTGTAGACGACGTAAAAGGCAAAAGTGAAAATTCCATCGCTACGCGGGGGCAAAAAGACGGTTGATAACAAGCGTCGTGCTTAGGCAATCCAAGGTGAAGTTGCTTTGCGAGATGCTTCTTCAGTTTGACAAAATACGCATCCATTTGTGATATACAAACGCCTGACGTCAAGCGCCTCGGTAACGTTTTCGACGTAGACAGATTATCAATTAGAAGCTTGTCAATATTTCTTTTCTGCATTGGACAAAAACAATGGACATTTGATTCGTTAGAAAAAAATTACATTCTCAAGTAAATGTCAAAAATTAATTTGACCAATATTGATAATGTCCTTTATCAATAATTAATAATGTCTTTAAAAATTGTGAATAAGTGAAATTCATTCCCACTCAGAGTTGGAAATTCTCTCGTTTAAATTCGAATAAAAATAATTCAAACAGTACACTTGATATTCATATAGAATATCAATTGAAATATTAGTTGCGAGTCGTGAGTTGCGGTTTCACCGCAATTTCTCACGGGACAGTTTCATTAAATATTTTTAATTGCACCGTGCAGTTTGATTTCTCCAGTGAATTCTCGATTAACTTTGAAAGGTTATTCCATATATGGAACACGAAAGTGCTTGTACTTTGATTTTAAAAGATTTATTTGGTAAATGTAATTGAAGCATCTGTAAATTCAAATATGCATATTATATGTCACGAGTTGAGCAACTGATGTGTACATATTAAACCAGTCAAATCAATTTTTTCGTAATTAAATTATGTGAATGATGATTTTCACAAAGCGTGAGTCTACTCACGTTTACATACGTCCGTACAGATTACAAGTGAATCATTCGGCATGATTAAATTTACAAATTAATCCATTTATAGATTAAGCATGTCCCCAGACGATGGAAGATTCCATAGTCTTATCTTGTTTATTAAAATCTACTGTGGGTAGTCCCCTGCGAAGATTGTATTGAGTAATGAAGTAACGTTTTTTTACGAAACATTAATCTTTTTTCATGTTATTGAAATAATGTGTCAATTGATAATATATCAGTTTGATAACATTCTGTAGTTTTTCAACGTTATCTTAGTTATGTATCCGATGAGAAAACAAATTTCTTTTCAAATTTCATATTGACGATCTATCGGTTGATGACAATATTTCAACTAAACATTTGCTATCCCAGTAATGCAGTTGTTAATGAATATCTTCATGGATTTACCACACTGACGGTTTTTGTAAAAAAAAATATATACACAACACATTTTATTTAAATAAATAATATCATTATGAAAAATATTTTCGTTGAAAAAACACTGCAAAAAGTGGCAATTATCGAGATAACATAAGATTAGTTAAGAACTGCGCGTATAACTGTTGTCAACAAATATATAAATTAATTTATCGTATGAATATGTCAATGCGTACATCTAGTCAATAATTGATGTCGGTCGAGCCAAACTAGATTCGCATGTGGGGAAAACATAACATTTGATTCACATCAAACAAATGATTATAAGACGCATCTTCCGATAAAATACGCCAGCCATCACGCAATAGCATTGTAATCGGCGGAAAACTAATTTGAAGAGGGTGGAACGAAGTAACCACGGCAAAATGTAAATATCGCGTGTACCTATATAGTAGTGCGCGCACGCGAGAAGAGCTGAGGACTTATTTTAAGCCAAAGCAACGAAGATTCTCCCGTCAAGGTTTGCGTTCGTCTATAATTGCTTGCGAGTACCATATACGCCACGTTATTAATTTATATACTACAAGCACTCCCGCGACTTCTTCCTCGTTCCTCTGGCGTCACTAAGCCACCCGCTCTCAACGAATATTTTTCGTATCTGTAAACCCGATTATACGGTCGCACGAAGGTTCAGAGCTGTTGGTATTAAGAGAAAATTGTAACTGTCGGCGAAGCCATCTTTGTCCTCGTTGCTTTCTCAAACGCAAATTGTGTTATACGTTGAGAGTTTCGAATGGAATTCATAATTTTTAGATTTCATTAGAATGCAACAACTGCATCAAGAGTTTTTTCGTGCTTTTCTGCAAATTCTATTCTACTTTAGGTTTTTCTGTAAACGGTGGCTAATTGGAAATTGCATTATTATCAAAAGAAGAAAAATTATTATCTCAATACATTATCTACTATTCCACAAAATATTCGCTTCAGCCAATTAAAATAAATAGTAATATTCTTTACACAATTGAATGCTGACCTTTTAATGTTTCAAGTGATATTTAATGCAAAAAGAAATTAGATCAACAAGAATCACATGACCTAATTTATTGAAATTACTGTATAGAGATATATCTGCATCCGGAATAAATTCGTTTTTGACATTTACGACTTGAAAGATAAGTTAAGGTTAAGCTTTGTTGTTCAGAAGAGCCAAAAGTCACGTAGGCACGGAGTAAAAAACATACTCGTTTGCGAACGCACTACCTTACGACATATAAACAAAGTGATCGTTCACGCGGGCGCGTGTGCACTTGCACGTTCATTCAGCCTGCAATTTTGCACCGAACATTAAATTGATCCTGCAGTTGACCTACATTGGAAAAAAAACTGCCTGCCAAGTTGCGCGGTATATAATAGAAAACTCATCGAAATTTCTAAATATACACAATTTTGTGAACTCCCCACGTTTATGCACAAGATTCTGCTCCAAAATCTAAAATTGGAACAGAGTTCTCAATTTCTTTCACACGTCTAGCCGTAGTGTTAAAGATATACTTTTTGCTACTTGCCTTCATGCCGCTTGACAATTATCGATCAAACGTATTTTCTGTTTACAATTTCGCATAATTAATATTTGGCAAATTAATACTGGCGGCGTAGCACTCGAAGCTCTTGTTCAAGCTTATTTATCGTCATGCGCGTATATATGTAGACTATAGGGCATCAATGTGGCTTTGAAAGACTTCGTAATCCAATAAAGTATCCCACGCAATATCAAAATCAACAAATCTCTTCTTCGTTCTAGTAATGCACAATTTATATACTTGTGACAATAAAAGTTTTCCTCGCGCTAGCTCTATTTCAACCAACGGGATCGCAAAAGAAAAGATCAATCGAGAATTCCATATGTGAATCGAAACTGAACAATCGACATTAGAAATAGATAGCTCTGCGCTTGGAATTGGTATTTCTCATTTCCGCACGCGGTAGAGATCAATAGAATTCCTCGGCACATATTCTCTCTCCTCTCTCTCTCTCTCGCTCTCTGTCTTTCTCTCTCGTTACAACGTCACGTTGGGAGAGCTATAGTAGTTCACATCATCCTTGTGACCTATCCCTACTTATATGTATGGGCGTCCTATTAGTCTGTTTATCTCACCTCTGGATTGGATGCAGCAACGGTAAACAAGTCCTTCAACATCCCCAGGTGAAATTAACCTCGGGGACACTTCTCGTCGAAAAAATAATACAAAGTCGCACCTCACACGCGCACTCGCACCTGCAATACACAACAGTAACAGCAGATATTGTAGTCTTGAATATCGCAGAGAACCTATAGTAACATTGGATGTATGTATAGATCTTCTCTTCAAACTGATATATATACTCACAAACAAGTGGCTGACAAAGCCAGCACTTTCACAAGCCACGGATGAGCCAATTAATCGATATTATATTGTGTATCACACAAAGACAATATATTGGAAGGGCACACACGTGTCGTTCGAACACTTTGTTTCTTTAATGGCAGGTGTGACGACGTGCGTAGGTGCGATGAGTTTTGGTTTTGGACGTGCTCGCGACGCGTGCTCGCGATCATGAAAGTAGGGAGGAGACAACGATGTGCCTGCGCACAGCCTGCGTCACTATACAACTGGCTACGTTAACCTGCGCGAGCATCTGCGCTAGAGAGAAAGAGAGAAAGAGAGAGAGAGAGAGAGAGAGAAAGCGCGAGAGCGCGTACTCAGTCCCACGCCGAAATACTCCCTCAAAAATGAGTCGTACGCACGTGCGTTGAATCTATCTTATATGACCACTTTCTACGCAAATACATCTTCTGACAAGTAGAAATTGCACGAGCAACCGCATGGTTAAACGTACAACATAATTACTTATTTCACTTTATTCTTTTCAATCAAAACACGACTTCTAAGTTTATTTTTAAACTAAAGGTTATTTTATATATTGCAAGGTGTAACTGATGATTGAACGTATGTACTACAAAATACATAATATGGGTTTAACGTCGGAATAACTAATGTTATCTATAATTTTATCTGTATTCAATTATGCCAAATGATATTGTTTCTGAAAAACTTTTAGAATGGCGTTTCTTTTTTGAATTAAAGACGTGAAAAACTATTATATCAGGTATATTGTTTTTTTTGCTTTTGAAATGCGATTATCGACACACGGTAAATCTAATCTAACTTCGATTACCATTTCCGCATTATTGTTACTACTTAACATACTGTTGGAATAAACAATAAATAATCTTATTTATATTATGTTATAATAATTTGTTATTTACTATTATCTAACGCAATTTAAAAGTATATATTTTTTAACTATATTACATTACAGTAAATATCAACTGTTTTTCATAATCAAAAATACTCTTTAATTTGTACCTACCGCCAGAATTTCTTTGTCTTTCAACACGAAAATGTATTATTCACTGTGAGCAAGTTTGGTGGCGTCCTCAAAAAGCTGGAAAAGTCATGTTAAATTTTATGGGTAGAAATTAGTTCCGTGGCCGCCGTCGGCGTAAAAGTGGGAAATTCAAATTCCCATTAGAACCAATGTTAAGATTGACGCCAGCGCTGCTATCCCCTCTCTCTACATGCTCACAGCGAATAGATCCAATCAGACGTCAGATGATACATATATATTTCTCTCGTTGAAAATGCAACATAACCAGAACATAACCTCGATTCCCCTCATCAACAAATAATAGTGAAAATTAATACATTTTATTAGTAACAGCAATTAAAAGGATATTTATATTAAATACCGATAATAAACTAATCAAATGGCAAATAAAAAACAGTAAGTACCCGTCTACGACTTTATAAATAGTTTTATAACTCACTTTATCTCATTTTTATTTGTTCTATTAAAATTTTTCATTTTCCATTTTCTGATTTTCAAATTTTACATAAATAAATTACTGTTATTAAAATTTACATAAATCTTAACAAATTTTATCAAAAATTGCATACATTATAATAAAGTCTTATTATATTTGTTCACAATAATTATTAAACTATTGAAAATATATATAATATTACATTTATTGTAAAGATACTTAAATTTTAATGTTCCTACGATAATTTAAACATTTTTAAATGTTTTAGGTATGGATTATCATTCCCTACTAAAAAGCCACTTTCTACTCCAAAAGTAGGAAATGTATTTGGTAATGATGATGATTCTGAAGAGGAAGAAGGAACTGATTGGGTAAAAAAAGCCTTAAAAGCAGAAAATGAAAAAAATAAAATAAAGAAACAAACCAAATTAGACATGCAGAAAGCATTGAAAGAAGATCCAACAATATTTCAATATGATGAAGTTTATGATGAAATGGAACGCACTAAAGAACAAGAAAAGTCTGTGAATAAAATAGAAAGAAAAGCTAAATATATCGATAATTTAATTAAGAGTGCAGAATTGAGAAAGAAAGAACAAGAATTACGAAAAGATAGAATGATTCAAAAAGAAATTGAAGAGGAAGAGGCAATGTTTCCAGACAAAGAAAGATATGTAACATCAAGTTACAAAGCAAAATTAGAAGAGATGAAGAAATTTGAAGAAGAACAAAAGAATCAAGATAGACTAGAAAGTATAGGTGATGTTACTAAACAAAAAGATATATCAGGATTTTACAGACATCTGTTTCGACAAAAAGTTGAAAGAAATGAGGCAGATCTTGGTATTATTAAAACTAAACCAGAAGGTACAGAGAATAGTCACAGTAAAGTAAAAATAGAATCTAATATTGATCAAGATGATCCAATCTTATCAAATTCAGATTCTGAAAATGAAGACAATAAATCAGAGAATGAGAAAACAACAAAATTGATAAAGGCAGGAAGCTCTAAAAGAAAAAGACAATATCGACAAAAGGTCCAAGAAGTTTCTGAATCAGAATCTGAATCAGATCAGGAAATTGAAAAATCAAGTGAAAAGATTGATGGTTCTAATAAGAAAAGTGGAGTAGAAGACAAATCAGAATCTCCTTCAAAAAAACCAAGAACTGATGTCTTAATTGCTAATGATAAAGAAGACAAAGAAAATATAGTTGAATTAAATGAAAATGTGAAAAAAGCAAGTGATAATGAAATAAAAACAGATAGTAAAGAATCTACAAAGAATAATAGTGAAACCAACGTGGAAGAAATAAAAAAGAAAAAAATTAATATATATGAAAAAAGAACTATTGGTCCTCTATTTGAAGCAGCATTGCAAAGATATTTGTTAAGGAAACAAGAGCGCTATGGATCTTTGTAAAAAATGTGATATAATGTAATATCATTGGATTATTTTGTAAATAGTAGTTATGAATAAGTTAAACTGGGAGAGTGAAAACAAAGTATTAAACATTGATGTTACTTTGATAAAAATATTGGAAAATAATATAAAAATCTGTAAATAATCTTTCTACAAAATAAAAAATTCTATTACACTCAAATTAACAATAGACATTTAGCAATGATTTTTAAGTTATACTTTTCAGATATATACCTATTTGCATTCATATGAAAAAGTTTTATTTGATTGGTTTAAACGTTTGCAGAATGCAGCACCTGTATATCTTTTATAATTAGAATATTCTAACAGAATAATAAGGTAGCAAACCCCTTTTAGTTTAAATATAATTATCTTTTGCTTCAAATGGGTGTATACTCGCAAACACATCTTCATATATTAGTAATTTTATTTATTCTACTGTGATACACGCTTGCATACATACAAATTTGATTTGTTTGTTATCTCATACAGAATGTTTTTCAAAAGATAAAAATCAGGCCACAGCTTTGGTTGGACAAGTTTTATGCAAGAGTGCGGATGTTTATGGTTTAGTGTGCGCCTTGTGGTTAGCTACCACTCTGTATCTTGCTACGCAAGACTATATGCACACACACACACACATATATATAATATATGCGTTGATGCAGTTACTCAGCTGATAGCTAATACACAGCAACATATATACTGCGTAGTGTACACACCACACATAACCGGCATCATCAACTTTGCTAACTGCCAGTCTCTAATTTGTTCTGCCAACGCCTCCTCCACAATTATTATTTCAAAATAATCCTTGTAAGTTAGTCCTTCAAAAATTGTTTCGCCACAAATATTGAAACAGAATCATTTTAATTGAATAAGATATATTATTACTACTCTTTCGATGCTTACTTATATACAAATGTATATACCAATACATTAAGTTATTATAACTTATATAAATTTATTTTTTAACATCGTCAATCTCGACGTAAAATCTTATAATTATAGCTGTTATATACTTAACAAAGCCTTAGATTTCAAATTTGATTAAGTACCTTCACCATTAATATTTACTAAACAGAAAACGTGTTTATTTAAATATTTAAAGAAACTTTCAATATTAATTTTTAAATGTATTAGGTTACAATCGAATCATTAATATTTTAGCAATAATTTTTATTCGTGTCCAGTTAAAATCAAATTTGTATATTATTCTTATTAAATAACTTGCATTAAAAATTTTATTCAATGTTTTATATTCATGAAAATGTATTACTAAATTTCATATCTGCAAAGTCCACTATCAGTTCTTTACCACTCTCTTTTTAGTGATAAGGCGTTACCAATTTATCTTGAGTTGAATGAGCCATATTTTGCAATCAAAGACTTAAGAAAGTTAATCCATATTCGTTAGGCAGATGTAATTAGAATCACTAATTTTATATTTTTTACAGGTAGCACGTAATAAATAGAAATGCGCTTAATTATTTGTGATGCTGCTGACAATGTTGCTGAATGGTCTGCAAAATATGTTATGAAAAGAATAAAAGATTTTAAACCAAATGAAAACCAATATTTTGTAATGGGACTTCCAACTGGTAAGATTTTATATTTATTTAAACTCTGAATTGTGAAATATTTAATTAAAATTTATTTTAGGAGGGACACCTCTTGGAATGTATAAAAAACTTATTGAGTACTATAAAGCAGGAAAACTTTCATTTAAATATGTCAAAACATTTAATATGGATGAGTATGTTGATTTACCACGAGATCATCCAGAGTCTTATCATTATTACATGTATAACGAGTTCTTCAAACACATAGACATTGACCCAAAAAATGTTTATATTCTTGATGGTAATGCACCTGATTTAGAATATGAATGCAGTGAATTTGAACGAAAAATGAAAGAAGCTGGAGGAGTTGAATTGTTTATTGGAGGTAAAAATATCTAAGTAATTTAATTCTAATATTTTTTCATGAGAATTATGTATATAAGTATGTAATAATAATAATTTAAATTTTTGATACAAAATTATTACAGTTTGTATAAAATGTTTTCCTTTATTAATACAGGATTAATTTAACATATATGCATAAATGGTTTTGTGCATGCTAAATGCAAATCATTTACTGATTCACACACAGACCATATTTTTCTTTTGCTTTCCTCTTCTTGTATTTTTCTTTCTCTTGCTGCTTCTTTTCTTTACTCTCTCCCTTGCTTATCTTTCTTTTTCTCATTCCTCTCTGTTCTCTCTTTCTCACATTTTTCTAAGTCCTCCTTCTCTGTAAGGCTCAAAGTACTCTTCTGTACTTCCAGATCTTTTCCTAATTCTCTTATTAAATTTGCTGTTTTCAACATTACTTCTCTGTTTTTTCTTTCTTTATAGCCAAGCCATTCATACAGACTAGTACACATATTAGTTCCCTTTCTCTTGCCCAGACCTGATTTCTGATTCCCTTATTCTTAAATTTCATCCAATATTTTCCATCTATAATAATAATAATAATATTTTACATCTTGAATTTTACTTAATATAGCCAATGATTTATGAATGAAATGCAATAAAAAGAATTACAAAATGTATAATTTTATTACTTTTATGATTCTGTCATCTTCAGGTATTGGCCCTGATGGTCACATTGCATTTAATGAACCAGGATCATCACTTTCTTCTAGAACCAGAGTAAAAACATTAGCTCAAGATACTTTAGAAGCAAATGCTCGTTTCTTTGGTAATGACATTAACAAAGTACCAAAACAAGCTCTTACTGTTGGAGTTGGCACAGTGATGGATGCCAAAGAGGTCATGATCTTGATTACTGGTTCTCACAAGGCTTTTGCTCTTTACAAGGCAATAGAAGAAGGAATTAATCATATGTGGACTGTATCTGCATTCCAGCAACATCCTAGAACACTTGTAATCTGTGATGAAGATGCTACCTTAGAACTTCGAGTTAAGACTGTCAAATATTTTAAGGTATGTTATAAAATGTTTTATTTTTTATATTCAATATTATTTTTAATACCACTTATTGTCCTATAGAAGTGAAGGGTTATTATCTAATCTTATCTTTATTCAAGTTACTTAATAATATTTGCAAATACTTTTTGAAATATGCAGGCCCTCAGTGTTGTGCATAGTAAATTGATAGAAGAGGACACAGAATGTACTCTACGTCGTCCTCAGAAAGACGCGTAATCTGGTACAGTTCCATTGATTAATTATAAGAAGAATTTTGAGTTTTTGTTTTTATTGTCGTTTTCATTTCATTTTATAAAAAGTACTGTTTTCTCATGATTCATGTAATTTATTCCAATAGTTTATATTTAAACTAAATCATAAAATATAAACTCATATCATTCAATCTGGCAAAATTATTACCTGATGTGATTCAACATATTTATTCATTTAGTAATTACCAGCTAAATATTTATTTTTTGTTCAATGTTAATATAAATCAAGTAAAGTTAATTTGCAATATTTGCTTTTGTTATTTACTTTACTTTGCATGTATAACGAACATTAACATTGCATGGCAGCATTTTCCATTTTCAATAATATGCTTATTTGATTAATCCTTTAATGCTTTTTTAACTATAAAAATAAATTATTACAATTTTTTACAATTTTCAGAGCTTATCGAAAGTGCATAGTAAACTTGTTGAAGAAGAAAACAATCATCGTGAATGAAGTTTGAACTTGGAATGATCTACATACAGAAAGACAAAAGTATAGAGTTTGACGAAAAACTTTTATAAAAATTTTATCGTATCTTTTTATTATTGTTAAACGTTAGTTACTTGAATAATTTTGATTTAACATATAAATTTTAATAAAATTGCAAGTAAATGCAATATTTTCTTACTGTAAATGTACAATTGATGTAAATTTTACAAAATATAAATTTATATTTCTATATTCACACTTTTTAAATGACTTATTTACAATACAATACTAATCATAATGGCTAATTCATCTTACCATATCAATACAGTGCTACATTTATCATTCTTATATCATATTAATCTTAATTATTCGTATATAATACTTCATATTGGTTTGAAAAATATGAGACATCATATTCTAAGTAAAAAAGTTATAAAATTGTTAGTACAAATAGATTTCTCCCGTTATTTTATTTAACGTTTATTGTACAAAAGAAAATTTAGTTTAAATAACAATATACGTATGAAAAATTTATATTTACATTGAAACGAAAACCAAAATAAAGTAAAAGTAAAAACATAAAAGTAAATCATCTAGAATACTAATCAGCTATAAAGCCTCTTAAAGAAGAAAAAGAATGAAAGAGTGTTAAAGATTATGTTTTGAATTTGTCAATACGATTTATAATTCAAAAATTTTGCAATTTAACATTGATATTCGAAGAAAAGTCCTATATTAATTACTTTCAAACAGTTTAACTCTTAAATTTAATAAGCGGATAACGCAAATGAATAAAGGTTATAGCTACAGAACATTACTACGAGATTATTAATACTTAATTAAATTAAAGTTACTCGTAGATTATTAATTAATAATGCTTTTAATGAAAATATTATATTGAATAATGATAAATTATTATTTTCAAATCATAAATTAAATCATCTTTTTTGTAGCATTATCATGTGCCTTAAAATCTTTAAATTTGAGTGCAGTTAGCTACTACTCCGTACTCGATTAAGATATCTTATATTATATGTATGGTTTTCTGATCTTGGTTTTTAATTAAAATGACAATATAAATGTTTTCAACGGTAGCTACCAATTTGATGGAAGACGAAAAATAAGAACATGATTCTATAAACCACAATCGTAATGCGCTATGTATTCTGTATACACCTATAATTTTAAATTAATTTGTTGTAACTATAAGCGAAGATTTTTCAGACATTGTCGATAACTATTGGGTTACTATTTGATAAATATCAGCATCTCATTTATTGAAGGGAAAAATTGTAGATGCTACGACATATTTACATTTGTTAGGAAGAACCTTGCTTTTGACGAACTTACCAATTATTGACAAAAACTACTTATTTAATTGAAAAGAAAGTTTGTTTCTACAAGAAAGTTATTTCAACATATCAATAAGAATATTAAAAAAGACATCTTAGGCGATGTCGAAGTATACAACATAACACAGACGAAATTGTTGAAAATATCGCGTTTCTTTAATAATTCAACAATAAAACTACTTTGAAGATCAACTATAAAAACATTTACGGATAATTTTTTGTTCTTATTTATTTCCTTTTCATTTTCAATTTATTTGAAAAATACGTTAGATTTTCACTTAGTTACAATGCTTACGATTAGTCTTTCATAATACTTAAACTATAAATTAAAATAAAATACTTATTTAATTTAATTATCAGTAGTGTTGTGAAAAAAAAGTTTAAAAAATATTTATTATATAATTTATTATAATTTTAACAGCCAAGCTCTGAATTCGAATCTTTTTTGACAAACCTTTTATCACATGAAATAATTTTTGATAAGTAACATTTAAAATAATGATGCCTAGATTTTCTGATATTTTAATAGAAGATTTTTAGATATTTTCACAACTACACTTATAACCCGAAAAAGTCATGAGTCTGGATTGTTCACCTAAATTTATAAAGTACAAATATAAATACCATCACATTTTGAGAAACAGGATAAATTAATAATATTAAATTAATGTCATAGTATACTGCAGCTCATTGACAAATCTCATTTCATTATTATGCTCTATAGTATGATATAGCCATTAAATATCCATTAAAATATTGTGATACTATAGTTTGATAATACTTTTATGTTTACCAAGAAATCGTTTTGTAATAAAGCTTATCGTGATTAATTTATCATGTTAGCGGTAAAAAGATAAAGCGCTGCGAACAATACGATTTTTCTAATGGTTTCGTAGACAAGTTAACAGAGTGTCTTTGAACAGAAAACCTAATTTTCAATTTTATATTCTATTCTTTTTGATTTCCTTCTATGTTTATGCAAGTTAATGCAATTTTTTTCAATGAACTTTTAAAAGTATTATAAGAGAAATTTTCAATCACATGAAATTGTAAATAAATTCTTTGTAAGAAATTAACGGTAATTAGTTGTTCGAGAAATATGTTATTAAACAAATATCTTGCATAAAGACAAATTGCAAACACTGATAAATCCTCAAGTTCAGAAGGAAACAACGAGCATTGTGACAGTGTCATCCTGTATATTAATAAAGAATCAACGTGAAAGCTTTCTGTGCAATCTACAGTCAGACATACGAATAAAATGTTTTCAATCACATTGTTATCGTCATTAGATTAAAAAACAATACACAATAATCAAGTACGAAATTTAAACGCTGAAGATACCGGATATTTGTAAAACACGTCAAACAGCGTGTGACGTTTTACGAGAAATATTGCTGTTCTCTCTCTGATGAGCGGCAGTAGCACGTGGTCTCTGTTCGCTATAACATATATTGTTCAACTCGTTGCCTCTTTTCTCAATTCGGGCTAGTGTTAAAAAGACGTCGTATCGTGACGGAGACATTTTTTTTCATTGAACGTTTGCTGCACAATACACCGATATAAACTCACGAACTAGAGACCGACCGTGCCGAAGAAAAAAATGACAGACTCGGAGCCCAAGATACTAAAAGTGGAGTTGCGAGAGCTCCAAACATTATTACGTAAGAAATTTAGCGATGAGCTCGAGGTCATTGAACATCACATCGAGCCTTTACTGCCACCGGGGGAGAACTACGGAAGTACAATGCTCAAAGTCGACGCGGTGGTTAAGAAGAATGCACAGGCGAATCGAGAGCATTTACATCTGGTGGCAAAAATGCTGCCTGCCACGGAATTTCAAAGGAAGATGTTCGACAGCCCATATACATTTAAAAAAGAAGCATTTTTATATCAGGAATTGATACCGTCTTATCAACATCTAGAGCGTGAATATGACGTAAAAAACAGTGGAATTTTTGATATTGTTCCAGAACTATATGGCGTCAGGTATTCATTAAAATCGAATGAAGATTTCGATGACGATGCCGTTATCTTAATGCAAAATCTTAAAGTTCTTGGATACTATACTGCCAATAGGAAAGAAGGTATTCATTTGCATTTTATCTGATCGCAAGTTACTACTCTCAAGCCTTTGAGAAAGCTAATTAGCTATTAACGTGGCCTTATTATCACTAACTGGCTATTTGCCAACGGCTTTTAATACGATATCTTTTATCATATCAGTTCAGCGGTGGAATAAGACTTTTGGAGCCCTTGGCTAAAATTAAAAAGGGACTGCAACTCATAAATAGAAATCGCATGAAAACTTTGGATTTTTTTAAATTTCTATTTATCAATAGTACACTTCATAGAATTATTTATTGCCTGTGATAATCTCGTGAGAGATAACAATTAGACAAGTGACTTATTGTTTTAATTTTTTCAGTAAATCACGACATTAAATCCATTTAAATAAAAATATTATGGTATTTCTCTCTACGTCGATAGTCACAATTTTTCTATTTATGATAGTTCAAATTCACACATTATTAAGAGCAAAATATTCAAAGTCTTTATCGATATCTACAGTATTTTTATGTTTACTGAAGCTACTACGGGTATAAGAACCGAGATAGTATTATTTTTTGTTAAGTTTTTTTATGAAAATAAGTTAAGAATACATATACATACTTTTAGTTTTATATGAATAAGATTTATAATCTATCATTATATTTATACTCAAATTATTTATTACTATTATTAAAATATATTCCCAGTCAGGGAGTTACAAATTATAACCAAAAGTATTCTTCTAAATGGCAACAATATGAATAATTTAAGTTATTTTTAATTTGTCACTGCATTTCAGTCATTTAATAAATCGATTATTTTAACCGTTCCTTGATCAAAGAGGTCATTCATGACCCTAGAAGTGGTGGCGTAACACTCTGGCCATGGTTAAATCCTAAAAAATCATAAAACCGTCGGAAAATGTGGAATAAATTAACCAAATTTAACCTTTTTGTATGAATTTTGTTCTAGTACACTTCATTTTTTCTTATGAAAATAATAAAAGTACATAAATTCATATAAAAATAAAAAGTAATTAAAAAATGTTTAAAAATGATTACTGAATATATTTATACTGTAGCATTAACCAAAGTTTAATCTTATATATGGAGATACATGGTGAACATGTAAATTTTAAAGATTATATTTACATGTTATAATCATTTGAAGAATTTCCCTATTGCTAATCTAATTATTTTGGTATTTCTCAAAAAAACATAATGTTATTAGTCGATCACTTTGTAATTACAAATGTCTAGTATTATATTTCTAAGTAAAATATCCTATGTTTGCATTTTTTTAATCTCATTCAGGATTGGACCTTGAACATGCGAACGTAGCGATACTCGCACTGGCGCGTTTCCATGCTTTAGGCATAGCAATGAGACAGCACAAACCTGATCAATTTGAAATCATTAAAAAACGATCTAAATGCTTAGATATCGAACAAGACGACAGTTTCGAAAAGGTTCAGCAATTTTATATAAAATTGATGCGCAAGGATCCAAAGATATCAGTACATTTCGAGCGTCTCAATGCAGCAATGACACAAGAAACGGTTACTACTTGGACGGCTCCACCACCAGAAGAATGGTCCACTATTGTTCACTCTGATTTTTGGGTTAATAACTTTATGTTTCGTAAAGATCCAAATACTGGTCATGTGACAGATATTAAATTCGTTGACTTTCAAAATTATTTAAACTTGAGTCCTTTGCGGGAGCTAACATTTTTTTTAATGGTTAGCTTAGACGCTTCCACTATGGAAAATCATTTTGATAACTTACTTAATTTCTACTACGAAAGTTTTATTAGCGTATTGAAACGACTCGAATGCAATATCCAATCTTTCAGTAAAGATAAATTTGACGAACGAATGAAAATTGATGCATTTCATGAATTTCCTCACTGCCCGTTTATGTTGAGAATCTTATCAGCAGATGTTAAAAACGATTTATCGTCTGATCAAATCGAAAATATGATGCTAGGTGAGCAATTTACTCCTTTGTTTATTGAGAGATTGCGAAGATGTGTTAAGAAATATGCAGAAAAAGGCTGGCTTGGTGACTAACGTAGATAAGATTTTTATTCTAATAATTACTCTAGAAAAATTCAAAAAAGTTTACTTCTTATCATTCCGGTAAAGGCTCCTTATTGCGATTACTTTTAATTATCTTCAATGTGTGTTTCTCATCGTGATATGTAATCAAAATTAAAAATTTGCAATTTAGAAAATTATTATATAATTATAAGAGTATTAAAGTGAATCGTTTGAAAAATAACGATTTAATGCATTGATGTATATTTGATATTTTTGTCTATTCAATTACATAAGTTTATATGACATCTGAGGAACATGTTCTATCTTCATCGAATGAAATTTTGATAAAGTTGGCGTTGAAAATAAAAATAAAATATTGACAGCTTCATTTTGAAGGGTACTAAAAGGATATTATTAATAAAGTAATAATATTATATAATAATAATATTAATAATATTGATTGATTTTCTAAAACGGTATAAGATAATTGTGAGATTTATAACAGTATTGTATATACGAAAAGAATGACATTGATAATCACAGTATTAGACTACATCGCGATTGTAAAGGTGACGCAACATTACAGATACGTAATACTCGTAATCATCATTGTCAAGTACATAATTTACTGTGCGAGATTAAATCGAATTAGCACTATCTTGCTGTAATTTTCATAACTTTTCAACATTATTTTTGTACGTAAAAATCCAATTTATATGTAAAAGGAATGTTACTACGAATAAAAATCTATACTTATTTTGATAAATGATACTTTTATAAATAGTTTCCCATTAAAATAACCATACCGTCATGCATAGAATCCTAAGTAATCCTTTATTTCATGCTTCAAACTTAGAGATTGTCATGTAATAGTGATTGCATAAATTGATCAAAGTTATTCCATTTCTAAACACAATAAAAATTAAAACTTATTTCATTCAATCTAGTAAAATCTCTACGGAGATATACATATAAGCTTATAAAAGTGTCAGCTTTAGAATGCTGACGGCTTTACAGTTCGCGCGTACGGTGATCTCAATTGCAATCACCTTCACGCATGATGTGGTGATCCACAAAATTTTAATAAGGACGTTATTTCGCTCTATTACTGAATTTTTTATATAAATTATAAGTAGAATGGTTATATGAAAGAATCAAAATATATTTTACTTTTATATAAAATAATCATTTTTTTGACATCAATGACCCAATGCTCGATCTAATATATAAGATAAAATGTAGTTCAAATTCATCAACGGCTATCAAAGACCCATCAATTTGTCAAAATAAATTTGGTGTAGATATAAGTACTTGTTAGCACAAGGTTTAGATACATTTAAAAGTTGAATCATGCATGAAAAGTGGGAAAATAGTTTTATGATTTATTTTGATGGAATATTACTTTGCAAAAAGTAAATGCACGTGGAAGAAATTCCACTATTTCTTAAACATTAGCTACAGTTTAATGTTGATCAAATGTTTTAACGGAATTTCATGGTGTTGGAAAATAAAAAATATCCACTTGAGATTTTAACTGATATTTATCAATAGAAGAGACAGAAAGGAAAAAATATGCTGCGCGAAAAGAACGAAATTTTCCGTATATGAATGGTGCAGGGAAACCGTCAACGAACAGTCTTTCTAGTTAACAGCAATCGTGTATCCAGACAATTAGTATAGCGACAAAAATAAAGTTCCTATACACTACAACAGAAGGAGAGCAAGGCCGTATATGTGCGTAAGCCTGAGGCAGTGCAACGCGAGCGACATCCGCGTTTCGAAATTCAATTATGTAGCCGATAGCAAAGAAACGATAGCATCCATTCCATCGATGGCATCTTCGATCGAAAAACCACAGATGAATAACTATATCGGTTCTTTCGTAAAAAAGCTAGGTGCTTGCGTCAAATCGCAAAATCGAATTTTTCGATTGTGTCAGACCGGGCAATCCAAAGTCTGACTGCTTGACCTACCTTGACTTTCTATAAACCTTCGTTCTTATCCATTTCGACATTTCATAGCTATTAGATTATCTTGTTTTCTACCGAATCTAGCTGGAATCTATGTATCACCTACGTTTCAATACAATCATTTTTCACGCGATTCCTGAAAATTTTCGTTGAACTTTCGAATCTTCTTAATTAAATATTAGGGTATCGAACTATTTCAATCGCTACATAATAACTATTAATAAGTTCAAAATTATGTGAGCTTATTTTTAAGAATATTTTATAAAGCTTAGAGACTGCTTACACTTTATTGACCTCTGGAGGAGCTTAATAGAGGTCATTGAAAAATATTAAATGAAAGCATTAAATAGCAGTTATTTAAAATTTCATAAGGTAGTTTCTATATATTTCAGTAGATCACGTGAAATGAGTATTAAATTGTTTTGTCTATTTATAATTACGCTGGTATGTGTTTTTTTATGTCTTTAGAAATAATATGTACGTATGCATTTTATTTTTTGTGTTGGTTTTAAATAAAAATTAAACTAACAAAGAGTCGCAGAAAAAGAAGCATGCGCATTGCCACTTCATTTATCACTTTCGATACGATATGCCTGATAATGACTTTTGTAACTTGAAACACGATGATATCAAAGTAATTTTTTCTATTTCTATGTATTTTTTTAAATATTGAAAACTCATAAAAAGGATATTATATCTTTAACAATACATTATATTTAAAAAATGTTGAATGAAAAAACATTTAGTAAGTTATAAATATCGAAATACCATGGTAACAAACGAAACTAGAGAAACTAGAGAAACTATTTAAATAAATTATCATTAAATTATATGGGTAGTGTAGCGATAACTACTTACCAATGGGTTGTCGATAAATGCCTAGTGGATTTGCATTAAAAATACCATAAGTGTTATCCATATCGACATAACTAGTTGAAATTTACTCAGATTCATGTAATATCTTGAAATCAAGTTGAAAATATTTTTCCCAATACTTATACTACGTAGAGTGTTACACATGCAAATCACCGATTTATTTATAACATTCGCATCTATTTTCATACATATCAATAACAAAACGCGCCCATTCACCCTCACGTTCCATAATTTTATAGATATAGTCTATTTTTATCAAATCTGTTAAAGAGTATGACTCTTTTATTTGAATGTCATGTAATTCTGGAACAGTTTTAAAGTTTTAATTTTCATGAATATTTTTGTCTTTACTACTACAACAGAATTTTTTCAAAATTGAGAAAGTAACTTCCCACTTAGAAAAAATGACATCTTTGTTAAAATAAAAAAATGAATAAATTTAGCAGCCTTGAGCCTACTTATTATTTGGCATAATTCCATAAAAATTGCATAATTCCGCGACACACGTGGTCAAGTCGTTGAGATAATCTCTCACAACAAGTGACGAACAGTGTTGGTAGCACAGCAACCGTTGCATGATTGATGGTAACGTGGTGAGAGATACCGTAGGAAAAGGTGGATATATACGGTAGCTGTTGAGATCGCTCCGTCAGTTTCTCGCGTGTCATCCGCGCGTCAAAATCTTTTTTTGATCGCGTAGCTATTTTACAAATTTATACGTACTTCCAATCACTTAATCTTGTCTTCATACAACAATTAAATATATTAATAACGCGGAATCTGTTATTTTAAACTGCAATCACTACGAAAATTGGTGTTATTTATAATACTTTAAATTGCTATATAATGACATCAAACAACTGTACTATGCCAAAAAAAGATACGGAACTGGTTCTGCGAGATCTGCAAACACTTCTTCGTGAAACTATAGGTAATGAAGTGATTGTTGTCAAGTATGACACGATAAATTTACTACCTAAAGGTGAAAACTACTCGAGCACGATGCTCAAGGTAAATTCAGTGATCAAGAGAACTGAAGATTCGCCCGAGGAAAATCTAGCTCTTGTTGCTAAAATGATACCAGTGACAGAATTTCAACAGAGCCACATTAACTGCACCACTTCTTTCAATAAGGAAATGTACGTGTATAAAATATTGATGCCTGCGTTCAGAGAGCTCGAGAAAGAAGTTGGTGTCAAGGACGAAGATCTGATTGACATAACTCCAAAATACTACGGAGGCAGGCTCTCGATGAATAGAGAAAAACTAGACGTTGCTGATATTGACGCGGTCATGCTGATGGAAAATCTGAAAGAGCACGGATATTACACAATGAACAGGATTAGAGGTAAGAACGAATATTTATTAAGATTACTCAACAAATGACTTGTTTTTAAGTTACGCTGCAACTGATTATCGCGGAGTCTTTGTTTCGCTTTTAATAGCCGACATTATAACACATGACTTGATGACCTTCACTGCATCGATTATTTTCATGAATCTTTTCCTTACCATTTTTCATTGATATTGTCGTTTTAATAATAAACAATACTTGTATTAATTAATATTTGTCTCTATCCAATGAATGTTGTGCTTGTTTAAGATTTAAATATGTGTGTACACAATACATCATAAGTAATTAATGTACGCAAAATTGAACACAAGTAAAAATATTTATATGAAAGTTTCAGAATGCAGTCAAATTAATAAATTTGAAATTACTGTATCGTGAGAATTTAGGGGGCAGGAAGCGATTGACAAAATGAGAACATCTCTGTTTTAGTCAATGTAAAATGCTGTGCGTTATTATTATTATAAACTTAAAATTCTCTTTGAATATGTGAATAGATGTAATCGTCGGCATAGTCGAGTATCATTGGCCTTGAAAAACTGTTTCACTTAGTCGCTTATATATGATCTCTGTATAGTATAACACATTTGATTTGGAGAAAAATATTTTTTCTTTTTTATTACTAAATAAAACAGTGTATTCTGCGAAACCTCAACATCAAAAGTTAATCTATCTATGGGGATTTATTCCATTGGGGCTTTACAACATATCCCGCTGGAATCTGTCTTCCCCTATCTTATTCGTCAGTGTTTTACTTCTGATGTGGATCCCAAAGACCACGAAATAAAGAAAAACACAATCTAACGTAGAAATACCTAATTTAACAAATACAATGTAACATACGGCATGTTTGCGGCCCTTTGACCGTTTATCAACTGACCGAAGGGCAAAATCAATACAACCCTCGACGCCCGAACGAAAGAATATCTGCATGGTTTCGTCAGCATTTTCAATATCAACCATTGGAGATTTTCTACAGAAACAGAATTCTTTTTCAAAGTAGCCAAAGGGTCGCATTCGAAGAGGTATTCTAAGTCCTACCCATTTAACTTTGAGTCTACGTACACCGAATGGTGGTCGGACGGATCCATATCGGACGTTTGCGTTCAGAAACATCGACGAGATATTACCGATTGGATAACATTAGACAGTTTGTATAATTCTGTCAATTAGAAAATATTTCATTATTAACGTTTTTTTAAATAATGAATTTCGTTCAAATCTTCTTATAATATATCTGATAGTAGCGTAGATAATCAGGAAGATTAAGCACTAAACACATTTTGTCTAATTTGTTTCAATAGGTTTGGATCTAGGTCACGCTAAAATGGCACTCAGGGAACTAGCACGGTTTCATGCCCTGTCAATGGCACTGAGAAAGAAAAAACCAAGTTTTTTCGAAGAAGTTAAGAAGTCTTTGAACGATTTTCCCTTTAAAATGGTAGAAAACGAATTCGATGATTCGATACGTCATATTATTAGTACTGTCTGTGAATACCCACAAACTGCTAAATATGAAGATCGTATCAGAGCATCAATAGAAGCAAATAAGGACTGGATAAAAACGATGAATACTGAGCCAGAAGAACCTTGGATCGCTATAAATCACGGCGATTTTTGGTCGAACAACATGCTCTTCCGACAAGGTAAGGCATCATTTTTTTTTTAACATATAGAAATATCTTGCATGGAATTAAAGTATACGATACCTCACTTTATTAAATACAATTTTTACAATTACAATTAAATACAACATACTTCAACGATTGAAATTTAAAAAATTTATTTTACAATATACAAATGGTTAAATGGTATTAATAAGTTCACCATGAGCCTACTCTAGATAAATTTCACTTTGATTGTAGCAATTGCGATGTACGTAATGTACATATGAAAATTAAAAACTATAACTTTAGTTGTTAACAAATTAGTAATGAAAACACTTAATAATTTATAACATAAACATAGTAATACATGATTCATTGACACTTCATCAAAAATTGTTGTATATTTTTTACTATCCATTTGTTTAGTTTTCGTTTAACAATTGTCTTTTGTTACCATATAAAACTTTTAGTTCTTTGAATAATCTATTGAATATTTTAATATCAATAACATAACTTCTGTTTTTATGTATCGTTTCATTTATTTTTGGAATCTGAATACTCTTGTCTCGTGTTTAGCTGTTAGATATGATATTTTCAACTTAGTTCATTATAATGATAACGGTAAGATGCTGTCTTTTTATTAATTATTTTTAGAAGTTTGCTTTGTAAGTTCTGAAGTAGATATAAAAAAGTATTACAGCACCTTCTCATATTAAAATTCTGTAATTTATAATAACAGACAAATTTGCATAATATATTTGTAGCAGTATTTTTGTATTAATGATTTTTGCTCATTAATAAAATATAAATATCAATTATATAATTTTCTTAACAATGTAGTTAATGTGACAAAAATATTCAAGATTATAATCTAATATTACTCGAAAACACCTGTTAGTCTCTTTTAATGCGTTTATTATGAATTTTAATCTCAACATTTTCAGGAACACTTACTGCATTGCTACCAAAAGTTATATAGACTGTTTTCATGTTTAATAATAATTTATTAACATTTAATCAGTTAGCTAAATATTCAGATAATTTATTCACTTCATCTATTCAACCCCGTGGAACTCTAATTTTGATTGTTTGATAGTTACTAGTTCAATTATTTAATCTAACGCTTTGTTTTTTATCGGATAAGTAGCTCTTGTGAGAGGTCATGTGTCGTTCGCATTTTTTTCATAGCGTATTTGATCCTAACTTACATTATTTATTTCATTAATGATGTTATTAACTATTTGGCTCTTAATTGTTTTGAAAGAACAATTTAATTTACTGTATTTTAAACTACATCTGAATAGCTATATATTTCTGATAAGAAATTTCAGAAAGTAACCAAAAAATAAAACTTTTTACGGTATTACGATTTACAGAATGATAATTTACATAGCCATTCAATATAAAATATGCTGATAACAAATTTAATTAACATTATAAATATCAGCATATATAAATAAGTACTACATTAATGAACTCTTTGAAAAATGAAAAATATTTTGTTTTTATTTATTTTTAATTTATAACATGGTTTATATTCTTGTATAGCATTGTAAATAGTTTAAAATAATGAAATTTAATACTAAATTAAACTTATCTGTTAGAAAATGGAAAGGTCAAGGACATTAAGTTCGTCGACTTTCAAATCACAAGGGTCAGCAGTCCATTAAAAGATCTGCCATATTTTCTATGTGGAAGTGTTGCAATGGATGTCATGGAGAAGCAATTTGACGAACTTTTAGATACATATCACAATAGTTTGATTGACGTCTTAACGAAGACAGGCTGTGCCACCAGTCCATACTCGAGAAAAAGTTTTGACGAACGGCTGAAAAAAGAAGCTAATAGCGAATTGTTACGTTGTTTGTTTGCAGCCAAATTTTTCACGCAAGAAACCAGTGATGATATTGATCTTAATGACATGGTAAACTCAGTAACAATGAGTAAGACCACTAATTTATATCTCGAACGATCGTGGATGATTGTATCTAAATTTGTCGAGAAAGGATGGATATGAACAGTTTAATACGGTCATTTAATTAGGTTACTTCAGCAATTTAGCTTGGCTCGAGTTCCATTAGAACCTCTGAAGCCACTCGAACGTTTTGAGCTTCAGAGTTGAATTTACAAACTAGCAAATTTCTATTTCAATTTTTAAGCAATTGTATAAATTTTACGCACTTCGATAAACAATTTTTTTGAAAGATTTTGAAAATATTCAAAGAACTCGAGAACTCGAAAGCTAAGCCGGCCCAATAGTTGAGTATTCGTAAAGCTCGAAGCGGCTTAAACTATTTCGAGCTCGGCTTAGCTCAGCTAAGCACTTGTTTAAATTGCTCGAGCCGTTCAAGCTGTTGTAGAAATCTAATTTTATTTTGTACAAACAATAAGTGTGGTAATTGTCTTATATAATAACGAATTTTTAACTTTACTAAGGAGATTTGTTAAGCTTATTTTTGTACACAAATATTTTTGTTAAAAAGTATTAAGCAATTTCATTTTTTTTCTTTTGTTTCAAACAATTCAGATATTAATTGTCTAGTCAACGAAATGTAGATGATAAAATTAATATACAGTTAGCATATAATAAACGCTCAAAAATATCTATGTACAAATTGTAACACCATGAGTATTACACATGTAGGTAGTTAGGGTCAGAAGGTTTACTATTCTGTTAAACAGTAATACATTATTCAGTATAGGAGAGAAATTAAACTTTGCTAGCGGGGCACTCATGAATAGAAATCAGTACTCAACATAGGTCGCAATGATTGTTTCTATTGAATATGTAATATACTGCTATTCAGAAGTACTAATTTAAAACAACCATTGATTTACGATTGTATAATATACAATGTATATAAAAGAACTCAATGTCTGTTATAAAAAGTATTTATAAAGGTTTATGTTCCAATAACAAAATGTACCACAAATTACATCTCCACGCATATACTCAGTTTTATACCTTACCTTTCCTAAAACCTAAAAATTGTAAATTTGTAAAAAAAATTGTTGCATGCACGTGAGCCTTGTTAGGTATATCTTATTTATGATTGATATATTAATATATAGATACAATGCGCTATGTGTACTCTAGTAGTTAGAGTTCGTACATATTTATTAGGCCAATTTTTTTCATAAAGGGCCTGTTATGCTGCATTAAGCGAAACAGAATATTCGAATGTTAAAGTATTTTCTGCTTACAGCGCTCTCTTTTATGCACGCTCATTAATTGTGATAACTTTCTTTGGTTTAAATCAACAACTACACTTTGCACAGAGTAACAGATCGATAATAAATTAGTTGAGCAATTTGAAACTTAAAATGGAAAACGTTAAACCTACGGGGATCTCTGAAAGCGTTTTCACTCTCTAAATACGCGACGAGACATAGGCGTGTTTAGGGTATCCGATAAAAATCACGAGGAGAGATTCTGCGAAACACGTATGTACAAGAAAAACAATTAGGGAAGACCGGACGACAAGCGACCACGTCAATTAGAAAAGAAACTCGGGTCCACGTGTAGCACAGACGCGGCACGTGGCCCCATCTAAGCCTTCTCTGAATTTTAAGCGCATCAGTATAGTCCACTTCAACAGCCGTTCCCAGAGTTCCTCTAGCGAAAATGACGTAATACGGGGTGAGCGCGTTAGTTTAAAAATGTGATTTATAATCCTTAAGCTCATACTAGATAAAATGACTATTAATAGATGCGATTTCGTGCCTTCCACGCCGTGCGCTCATTGTGCCTGCATTGTGACAGCACGCATGGTAACCATCGTTTGGCACGGCGTGCGGGAATTATGCCGACATTATGCCTTCCCGTTCTGCTGCACGAAATGCTTGCAGAATGCACGCATTGTGACGGCATTTTGAAAAAAATTTGTGCTGTATATTATTATTATATTATTATTATTATTATTATTATTATTATTATTATTATTATTATTATTAATGGTTTTTAAATAAAAATACATATTTTGAAAATTTTATTTATTATTTTTTATGAACATTTAAATTATTAAAATATTAAAATAATTTATATCTTTATTTTTAGAGATAATATAATAAATAATATCAATATAAATAATACATATGTATAGTCCAGTCATTACGGTGTCCGAAAAAATAATAAAATATATATTTTTCCGAACACCGCGTTATTTTTACTTTCGTCGAGGAAGATCGCGTAAATAATAAGAAAAATAGTCTTGATTTATGAGAGGTATCAGAACAATGTTTATTAATAATTTTAATGAAAAAGCAGTACTTATTTAGTATTTGTTTATATCTTTTTTTCTAGTTATCGTATCGAGATAAGCCTTGCGGCATTAGATTTATGATAAAATTTAACACAAGGATTGATATTTATTAAAATTAAATTAATTTATTTTAACAACAATATCTTGCATTGTTTGCAGAAATATTAAAAATGATAAACGGTTATATACTGGATAAATGAATATGGTTGTGATAATGGTTATATACTGTATAAAGAAGACTATAGTACATATAATCATTTATAATTTTTAACATTTCTGCAAACAATGAAAATTATTGTTGTTAAAATGAATTAATTTAATTTTGAAAGATATTGAACCAAGTAAAAAATGTTAACAGAAATCTCATATTGTAAGTCTTATTTCGATACGACAATTAGAAACAAAGATGTAAGCAAATAAGTAAATAAAATGGTTTTTTGATTCAAATTATTAATAAACAATGTTTCGATACCACTCATAAACTAAAACTATTTTTTCCATTACTTATACATGTGCTAAACATGCGCTTTCAAGATCAATAGGAGTAGTATGAATTCCAGATACCCTAGAAACACTCTAATTATAATTTACAATGCCGTCCATGTGTATCGGCAATTCGGGCTCCTTCTTCCCATATTTCAGGATTTACTGGCCTTCTTGGGTCTACATATATCCAGGGCAATTTCAACACTCCGCCATTTGTTAATGCAACTGAATGAATAACATTCCGGTTAAAATATTTAAAATCGAAGAGTAAATCGTGGAACAATTCGATATTAAATTAAATTATTCACCTAGGATGTGTTTGCTAGTTCCTTTCTCTGTAATCGTTTCTTGAATTGAATCAATTGACAAATGTAATATAAAAGCTTGCCTCTCCACAATAGGTAACTTTGTGTTAGTTAATAATGAGAAAACTACAACATAAAATTATTATTGTTAGTGTTAAATATGAATTGATATGGATGTAACAATTTTTATTTTAAGCAATTTACTTGTAGTATTGCTTTGAGTTTTTCTCTCATACAATTCTTTCCGTAGCTTCTTTACGTAGCTATTTCCGTTCTTTGACTTTTATCGTTAAAGTAACTATAAATAACCCAGTTTTCGGAATGAACAATATGTACTGGTCCCTTGGTTCTCTTGTGTAGGATGGAGAAAATCATTGATCCAGGTACGACATGAAGAAGATACAAATTGAGAGTATCTATAAATAATTAAACAAGATTTTGAGTAAACATAATTAGTTTTCGCAAAGTCCTTTTTATTACAGATGTAATAAATTAACTTTTATAAGCATCACCTTTTCCTTGAGTCACGACAGCAACCAGATTTGGATTGATATATTTGTATAAAACTGACCGATCACTCAACACTTGACCCTGCGAATGAACACGTTCGATTGAACTTTTTGAGACGACATGTGTTATCCGTTGTGTCTTTGACGAGAAAACTAATTCCCATACCTGAACGAAGGCAATGAATTTTAAAAATATATCACAATTTTTTAATTTTTCAGGTACAACGAAGATGACTTTAATCTGATTAATCTCCTGTAAATGTTCAGCTAGATTTTTCATTATTTTAATAATATTTTTTGGCAATGCATCAGATATGTTCATAACCATCACCTGCAATAATATATACCACACGATAGCTTGAAACGTTCATTATCCATATACTGAAGAAATAATCTCAGACCATTAATAATATATTGCATAGATTATATATTGAGTACATTATATGAGAAATAACATATTTATGGATTAAGCCCATTTCTTTATTATATTACATATTAAAAACTGGTAAATTGTTTTTCAAATATATTCCATAGACGACTACATATTAAATAAGTAACTTTTGATCAGAACACATTTTAATTTAGAAATTGACAAATTAATTTCGGTACTTACATTCATTGTTTTCAAATATAGTATTTGATCTTCAATCAAACTCAAAAGAGGTGAAATAACAAGGTACGGTCTATCAATCTCGACGCACAGCTGATAGGTCAACGACTTTCCCTTACCAGTGTTTAGAATTACAATACAATTATCGTCACCTAAGTTTACCTCAATAATCTCTCGCTGCAGAGCACGAAATTCAGCCAATCGAAACTTATCGCGAAGAACACGATTGACAATTTCCCAATTTACCATTTTTAAACTGTAAGATAATACAACCGTATGCCAGAGAAATAATCGCAAAACAACTGACTGCGAAACTGACGCTAAATAATTGATCGTTAGAAAATTGGCATTTTCATATATTATATATCGTCAAATAATAGTTATTATTTTGTCCGCATTACTTCCGGGGAGTGCATGTTCTTGCCTAGTTTTTTTCCCGCACTCGGTATTAGCATAGTTACCAAACAAAAAAAAAAGCACCAGTCTAAAACAGGCGATAACCGGCAGTATCTTTACAACTTTGAAGAAAGACAGTCGCAAAATCATGGCCACGTTAAAAGTACAACAATCCTCCATTAGATACCTCCCATTAACCATGCACCGCATGGTGACTTCAGTGAAATATATGTGCGCCGAACGGGAAGTGGTGCCGAAATGTTTTTTTTTCGATAAGCGGGCAGTGAACGTTCTATGCGAAGCGTATAACCGGTACCTCATCGGCCTAGAAATTTCGTCACACGAGAGGACCACCCTCTCGGAAATGAACGCAAGACGCATACTTGCATTATTTGAAAATGCAATCGTGGACAACTTACAACCATGGACATGGTGTCCAGCATTTCCTGTAACTTATCATCTCTGGAGATTGTAAGAATTTTTTAAAATAATCTCAATGAAATTTTTACAGTCAAGATCATCCTGAAATTAAACCAATGTACGAAAAAGTGAAAGACGAATATAACTGGATGCGGACACCTGAAGTGGCAGAAAAATTTTTATCTTTAGAAGATACTGTGCGAATTGTCAACAAATTTATTCTGCGAGCGTCGGATGGGACATACGACAAAAGCACCTTTCAAGCTGAATCGATGGCTGAACGCGCAGACGCACCATTGGGTTTTACCCAAATTGATAACCTCAGAAAAGGATTATATGCCAAAAAAAGTCGGCTTGAAATGCGTAATATGCTCAATAATGACAGAGCGTTTAAATTTTACGCTATCACAGAAGCACAAGTCGAAGACATGATTTATGCTTTCAAAATCAGTTGATAAATTTATTAAGACTACTATTTAATTTTCATGATAATTATAATCTCAGAATTTTATATGAAACAAAATGCATTTATAGTCACATAAGTTATATATCACATTTGACTTTTGCAGCCATCCGTACGTGAATAAGACCGATTCAACAGTTCCACCTCACCGCGTCATATACAGAAATCCT